AACAAATGTCAATAGTCATTATTGAAGTAAAAAATTAATTTTAGCCATTTTAAGAATATTTTTTTACAATTTTATGCTACACTATTTTTAACTTTAACTGTCAACTATTTATATAAAAAATAATCATCATATTTCTTGTAAAATTAATGATATTTTTTATTCAATTTGTTGACAATTATTTTGATCTTTGTTTTATTTCTTCTTTATCAGGTAAAACAAACTTGATAGATTGAGAATATTGAGTCGAATTGAAGCCGTCGAAAGAAACCAGGTCACCGAAATTCGATTATCGCATTGAAATGAGTGAAATTCACTAGAGAGTATCAAAAAAATAAAAAAAAAGTATCGAATCGCTTGGGTTGGATCAATCCGACAAAATTCAGGATCTCGTTAATTCTTCTCTAACAACCATTGTTTCTATTATCTCCGTTTACTATTACTATCATTCTTTTTTCTAGTCAATCGCAAGTCCTATTTTACTGTAATGATTTCGTGAAAAAAAAAAATAACTTTAATAAGACAATCATCTGATTTATATGAGAATATATCTCATGACCGAGAACTTGACCACGTGATTTTAAAACGACGAGTAGCACACACCACTTGTTTCATATCCGGGATTAAATTGAGTGTAATAGAAATCATTTAAATCAAAAGTGAATGCGTTAACGTCAATTTTCGTGAGAAAATATCAAAAATTTAATTAAACATTGTTATTTAAATAATTATATTGATAAACAAGTTTTGAAATGAATGTTAAAGACATAAATATAAAAATGAGAACAATTTAGATGAATAAAATTTCATACTATATTATACTAAACATAGTTGACTGGAAAAGAATTCTGAAAAATGTATCTAATTTAACTGGGAATTTTAAATTTGATATCACTACATTTTTTTTTCTGTTGAAATGTCATTTCTAGTTCTGACGAATTATGTATCCGTTAGATAATAAAATAAAAATGATGATGGAAAAAAATATTAAAACGAAAGCTAGAAGAAAATGTTATGTAACAAGAGAAAAGTTTATGTTATATAAAAGCTTTGACAATAACTAAACTGTAGGCTACCCTGAGGTAATGATAAAAGCTTTTGTAACATGGACATGACTGCCTAAGGGCTCTTAAAAACTCATTACATCAGGTATTCTAGTGTATGAAAACTTCATTTTCTCGTTGTTTATTTAATAATCTTTATTTTTATTCAGTAAAAAGTTAACAATTCGTTGAACAAGTATTGATAATTGGAATTTTTAATAATGTTTATTTTAAAAGCAATTCTACATATTGTATTGGCATTTATGTCTTATGATTGTTATGATTTTATCTCATATTTATATTTTGTTTAATATCTATGTTATAGATTTGTTTTATTCAGATTCATGTATCCATTTGATTTATTTACACCTTCATAAGGAATCTAATAATTACATAATATTCAAATAGAGATTATTTTATTCTTAATTATTTCACAAAATCTATTACAATTCAAAATAAATGGAATCGTTTTTTTATTTCTTCTGTTTAAATGGAATTTTATTGTTATTTAAACACTTTACTGTTTGATTCATAATACTTCTAGTTAAAAAAACTGAATGAAAAAATTCACACTCTATACTTAGATTGATTTGTTTGACATATTATTTTGTTGAAATAGGAGTAGGTATTTTTCTTCTATTTTTTAAATAATAAAATAAAATTCTTGACAGAATGACATTGCAAATTATATGCATACATATCATCGTACCTCTACAGTGACTATAATCTTTATAGAAAGCGTGAAATATCTTTCTTGGCAATATTTTCAATAATTTAATGTGCAATTTTATGTTAATTTTTGTTACGGTTTCATGAAAACCGTATTTGTCTATTCTTTTAATTGTCTCAAAACGTAAATGATGAATTATAAAAATCAACCCCATCACAATAATTTCTTAATGGCGAATTGATAAGTTTTTATTCATATTAATTACAGTTTAACAAGAGATATTTTTAAAACATAATTATTTGATAAATAAAAATGTATATAGTGATTATTTATAAAATAATTAGTCATTCACTGATAACTAAACGAAGCATGAAACTACAATAATAAACAGTAAAGAATATTAACATTAAATCTCAGGGAAAATGATATAATAGTGGTAGTAGTGAATAGTAGAGGCTATTAAGATAAAAATTGTTAAGTTTATTGAATAAATAATATTAATAGATTTGTCAATTAATTTTTTCTTAAATAAATACAATTATTTAAATTTTTTTAAATAAACCAATTTAAAACTATACCTTTAAAAAAAAGTATGCATTATCAAACATTTTTGTTTAATAATAGATTGCAGAAATGATTGTGCATAAAGTGCGCATGCACTCTAGTAAATTTAATTGTTAATGTAATATCTGTTATTGATACTGATTACTCAAATATGGAGGTATAAAGCACAAAAGAACGGAAGTGCTAGGGTAGCCAACAAGTTGCTGGTGTCGAATCGATTGAGGCTCAGTTGAGCCTGGAGGTACGTAGTAGGCTAGCAGGTGAGGTCGTACCTCCCGACTTTACCCTCACAATACTACACTATGACCATCTATCGCGATTCATGAAGACGAAAAAGATAGCTAAAAAGTAAGCGAAATAAGAATAAAAGAACTCTGAAAGAAAGTGTCAGAGAAAAGGCTGAGTGAGAGTTGAAGCTTTTCTCTCTCGTTTTCATCACAGCAATAAATGTAGATAAGAGAGTGAGTGAGTGTGTAGTGGAGTCACCGATTTAGTTTGACCCTACTTTTTTTCCTGTTCTATTTTACTCTTCAAACTTTCGACTCTAGATGTTTTTATTTAGTCATTTTTATTATTATTCCAGTCACGTTTTTAACCTACATAATTAACTACTTCAAATAGCTTTTTTTTGCAAATATGTACAAAAAAGATTTACTTGTTAGTTAATAAAATATACTTGGCCGGTCAATAGTATTGGAATATTTACAAATGATTTTTCATTTCTATTAATAAACAAAAGTGAATATTATATACTAACAATTTATGCAATTATATAAAATATTATTAAAAAATATTTTAAAAGTCATTTAAATGATTAATTATGTTTAAGAATATTTTCAAAGATATTAAATAATTAGAATTAACTTCAAAATTAAAACTAATTTTAGTAGCAAAGTTAATGGGTGACAATTCATTGACAATAAGATAGTAATTTAAATTTCAATGGCTGTTATTCAAAGACAAGTTACCTTAGTTTGCTGTGTTTCATCAGTATATCTAACCTTTAACTATTTGGCCAGTTACCACTCAATCAATGAACTTCCTAGAAGCTTGCGAACCGTGAAATTCTGTTCTCTTGATGGCGGAGAAAAGACAAATTAAAATGAATTAGACGATAAAAGAATAAAGTTTAGATTTTATTATTCTATAGATTGGTTAATGACATATCAGTGCGTGTACAATGGGTTGTCAGATGAAGCAGATGCTCAAATTGTGGATATGGTAAACAGTATAATTGAGTATTGTCAGCTTGTCAGAAACACACCAATGTCGAGACAATAAATTTAATATTACAATTTCAAGGTTAAGAGTCAATCAATAATTAAATGCTTGTAAGATATGCCTCAATAATGAGTAGTCTGTATTTGACGTTAAATAAATTATGAAGCAAACAGCGTCGTTATTGCATCTGTTACCAAGTTTCATGGTCAAGCCAGTATATATTAAGAAAATTATTTCATGCTGTTAGAAACTATAATATCTGAAAGAAAGAGAAAGCAGTTATATAAATATTTATTTCACATTAATGATAACGGCATAATAGAATTACATAAATGATTTTATTTTAGAGTATACACTGTAAATCCTAGTTTTCCAAAATGCATTATTTTAATGCGAATAAGTGTGTTAAATATGACGTCACCCATTTGATTAACATTGTAGTCACTTTTTACACACTTAGATCTGCGTTAAAAGTTACTACAATGTCAATCAAATGGATGACATCATATTTAACAAACTTATCCGCATTAAAATAATGCATTTTGGAAAACTAGGATTTACAGTGTATTTACTATTAAACACATTACACGTAACGATAAAATAAATTCATCAAACTATTAGTGTTAAAGAAATTGAAATATAATTTCAATTTAAAAATTAATTTTTCTACTTGCAGTGTAATAATTATTATTATAATCGATTAAATAACTGTAATTATTCTTTGGAATTTATCAATTTATGTCATAAAAATGGTATACACTGTTGTAAGGTGGAATAAATAAGCACTATAATAGATTGTTCGACATTTTCTAGAGTAATATATGTCATTGATAACAATAGACACCACCCAAGCGTGACGACACAAACATCCTTCTGAGAGCATATGCTCCTTTTGCAAACCCCTTCTTTGCCGTTGTACTTTTATTGATTTTTAACCTTTGCATTTTATGGCATATTCCGAGATGCACGAAAATTTGACATTCATTTTTGAGTTAAAAGTATTCGAAAAATGCAATAACTTTGAAAGTGAATATGGAAAAAACAAAATTCTTTTCATTTACGTTGATAGAATTTTTTTATTAATTTTCAAGCATTATTATTAAAAGATTAATAAAGATATTTCGTGATCTTTAAGAGTTTAAAAATGAACATCATAATAAAACCTAATAAAAAATTGCAAGTTTCCAACTTATTCCAATTTCAATATCATTTAAATGTGAACCTGACGTATATTATTACGGACATCTGCAAATATCTGTATTGAGTTCACTTTGATGTTTATTTTTATGTTTAATTTGTTTTCAATCTTTTACTTCATTAAGAAATTTTAATTTATCCATTTTTGTTTTTATTTAATTTTATTAAATTGTTATTTTTTTAGAAAAGAACAAATTTTACAAAGTATTAAATAAAAAGGAATAAGTGTGAAGAGACCAAGTCACACTCGAACCTATTTTTAAGATACTAAATGATCAGTTATATCTCATATTTTTTACTTCTTTCAGGAACTTATTTTATTCTCTATGATTTTATCGATTACTTCGAGAAAGACCAGCCAAGTTTTCTTCAACGAGAAAAATTTCTCAGCATTATTAATACCATCTTTAAAAATATGTCTGAAGTTGAGAGGGAAGCTATTGCTTTTCAGGTGAGTTGTAGCATTATTTAAATCAATTTACCACGATATTTATATTAAATACAATATGTCTATACATAATGAAAATTTGACTAATTAAAATCAGTTGTTCGAATAAAAAAATATTAAAGAACAAATTTTCTAACACGAAAAAATCCTGTTCACCTGTCATTAGTATTTTAATAGAAAAAAGTCAACTTTTTTGTTTTATACACAAGCAGTTATTTGTCTATTTTTTTCTAAGATTCTTTTTCCATTGAGATGGCTCTGAAAAACAAGCAAATACACTTTGATAGTCGCTGTGTAATTAAAAAAAGAAACAAAAAAAAGATAAAAGACGAACAAAATTATGCAATATGCCTTCAAGCATTTTAAACAATAAGGGTTTATTATGCATTTTCTATTTTCTAATTTTTTATTATTAAAAAAAAAAAAAAAAGATACTTTTTTTCATAAATAGTTGGTTTTAAAATTTAATTTTTCTCTTGATGATATGTTATTTTGTGGGCATACGTTGAAACAAAAGGATTTCGTTCATTGCGTCGTGAAAGGAAAAGAACTAATGTGTCTAATTTTTTTGTGCGCTGTTACGTTACCCGGAAAAATGAAAAATAAAAAACAAAAATAACATGAAAGTAAAACAGGAGGAAACAAGCATAAAAAAGATTGGATAATTTTTTATTTTGACTTTGCTTAAGATTTTTTTCAATATAACTATCTTTGAGCAGGAAAACATAAAATAATTTTATATTTTCACTATTAGTAAATGATAAAATATATTATTTATACTGAATATAATTAATTGTATTAAAATTTAAGATGTAGAGTAATGTATTTAAACTTCTTCTTATCTGTAATACTAGCAGTCATATTACCTATGTATAAATGAAATTTGAATCTTTCAAACTTTATCCGATTGAATTTTATTTTGTTATCAAAAGTATTTGTGTCATGTTGAAAAATGGCAGATTTGTGAAAATAAATTTCTTAAACTTTTAATAGAATTGCTTAAATTCTCATTCCATCTAACAAATCTATTTTTTTGATTTCAAAAATTTTAATACATTAAATAATAGTTTAGTAAAACTATTAAATTTAAAAATTTAAAAGTATAATATATCAAATAGTAAATAATTTGATAATTTTATAATAAAGAAACTTGAAATGAAAAATTTTAAATTCAACTTTAAAACTATTTTTTTTTTCCTTTGATTTCAATGGCACTCTAACGAATTTCTGTCACTTTGAAGAGTCAGAGAGGATAAAAAAATTAAAGAAAAAGTAAAATAAATAAAACTGTAGTAAAAAGAGAAAAAGTAGTAAACTTTACGGAAGAAAAATAAGTTGATCCCTCAAGAATATAAGACTCATGAGAAAACATAACTGTTTATTCCTCAATTCAAGTAAAACAAAAAGAAAAATGCAAAAAATAAGACTTACTGTCAGTGTAAAGAATAATTAGAGATAAAAAAGTAAAATGAGCGTAGAAAATAATGAAATCAAATTATGACAAAGAAATATTCAAATTCATAACTATTTTTAGGTAATATTAAAATAACAAAAATATTAAGTGAAACCATTTTTTTTTAGTACACTGATTGGGAACGGCCTAAGGATGGATACAGATATCAAAAAGCCATTGCTGATATTGTTGGTGATTATTTCTTCATATGTCCGTCCACGCTCTTCGCTCAATTATTTGCAGATCGTGGCATGAAGGTCTACTACTACTTTTTCACTCAGGTGAATAATAAATATTTCATTTTTTATTGTACTTGAAATAAGTTTTCAAAACTTTTTCTATAATCTATCTTATTTTATTACTTATAAAAGATTTAAATATATACATATATATGTAGTAGCAAAATTCCAACTTTTTTGTTTGTCCTGCAACTAGGTGATAAGCAAGTGATAAGAATGACGAAAACTTTACTCTGTCCCCTTTTTTTTAAGAATTACTTTTGTCAGGAAGTTATTGCTTTTTAATTTAAAACTTTAAACTTTAAAATTTTTTTTTGAACTAAATAAAGTACTAATTACAGTAGATTTGTATTAAGAATAAATGGTAGGATTGTTCTTCTCAATGAATATAAGTAACATTTATATAATAAATAAGATAAAATCTATTAAAATAATTTACTGGAATTGAACCAAAATATTGAATTGTTAAATAATTAGACAAAAAAAAAATTGTAAGCTCCTGTAAGTTATAGTGATATCATGTGTACTGTAAAATCATATATAATTTGAGATTTAGGTTAATAGAGTATATTTATTACATTTAACAACAAGGTCTGATCAATGTTACATTTCATTGTTGGTGATTAGTTAGCTTCTGGGGTGTTTAAATCGTAATAACTTAATATCCTGGCTTCAATTTAATATCATCGTGCTCAGTGCTGACTAGAATTCAATTTCCTAAGGGGTTTCTCACATTATATACTCTATCACCTGCATAATTCGTTGTCATTCACCCTATCAATATAATCATATAAAAATAATTTTCATCAACAAACGGAAAAACTTGAAACAAGTATTATAAACAAATAATAAATAATATTATTTTTAGAACTTCCAATAATATTACTATTAAATTATTACATGACTTATAATAATTCACTTGAACGTCAATTACTTGACTTTTACCATTTTATATTATTAACATGATTATTTATCAAGAATTAGTTAACACTTTTAGACAAAATTTTGACTTGTATATTTTGTTTTAAAATTTAACTAAGATAATAGCTCTCATAAAGAAGTCTCTTCCATTTAACATCAATGTCTTTTAAGTAGATCAAAATTTGACTATAAATTACTAGATTTATAGATATTTTAGTAAACTAGATTTATGAAAAGAACTGATCGATCAATCTTGAGAGCCAACTTTCCGTAAAGTTCAATCTGCATTTGACAGCTCAACTATAAACCAACTTCTACTACTGCACCAAAAAATATTCCCTATTTCTCTCATATTTAACTTTGCTGAAATCATAAAAAACTTTATCTAGATTTTTAATCTTACGTTCCTTTTTTTTTTCATTTTGTTTAGAAATAAAAATTCTGCTAAATAGTTTTTTTAAGAATCTTTTTACTTCTAATGCCAGAACTTTTTATAGTGGACAAATACACAATAAGAGTAAAGAGGATTTTCCAACATAGTTTGTAAACTGTAAATCGTCTTTCACTATTGTCTCTCTAGTAGAGAAATGCCAAATATTATTTAAAGTAAATAAAAGATTTCAATGTATGTATACTATTTACCATTTTTCTTCTTAAACATTTTATAAATTTGCATTTTTTATTTAATCAATATCTATGTAAGGTATTTTGCTTTAACATTTTCTATCATTTGAGTCAAGCTCATAGTTATTTTTAAATAAATATAAAAAAAATTATAAATTTTGATAAAGTAAAGTTAAAAAGAAGCTACAATTCGGTGGCGTTATTACAAGATTATACTCGACACCCATGAGTAATGACATCCTCTTTACCTACTCTTTCCTTCCATCTCTTAACTATCTCCAACCCCGAACACTTGATAAATTACCTCCTACGTTAATTACTGTAGAGTAAGGACGCGAGCATTTTCGTTTATATGCATTTTACGTTCTAGTTACGTTGATGAAAATGAAAATATTTTAATCTACTTATTCGATATTTTATTATGGATACAATTTTTAATATTTTTTGATTAATGTCAATAAAAAAAGTGAATAAATAATGTCGAAAAATAAAGTAACACTTTGCTCCACGAACTTCTTGAAAACTTTTTTTTCGAGTTAATAACTTTTATTTATTATTGACAAATTATTCCAAGAATTTAATTGGTTACGTAATAATTCATAAAAACAACTGCAACCAAATACCATTATTCTCATACTATAATCTCTATAATTTAAAATTTACATTACATAAAATTTGGCAATGCATTTGCTAGTCGTGAATTCTACTTATCTTGTTGTGGCTTATACATGCATTCACTGGTTGAATCCAGATATTTTCTGGAAGAAAAATTTTACATAATAAGACCGATTTAAGTCTTACTATTTGATTTATTGCTTCGCAGTTGTATATAATTATCTTCTATTTTACATAAACTATTCTTAAATATTATTCCGGAAAGAAGAGAAAAAAGAAAATAGCTGTAATAGATCTCTGATATAACTGACTGAATACTGTAGTAAAATAAAATATTCGAACCTGGATATAAAATATCTTGGTTTAAGATGAAATATATTATTACTAAGAGTATAAATACAAATTAAAAAATGGATTACCAAATCCTGTAATAATATTTGCCATGTTTTCTAAGAGTTTATATTAAACAATACTCAAACAAACTTCTTGAAAGGTAGTTTCTATAACGCCACTGAAGGTATTCACGCCTATTGCCAACCACTTATCTTTTAATCTACTTCTCCTTTAAGCTATCGTGTACAAAATATCCTAATGTTTTGCTTTCATGCACTTGCTTCATTTTCGCTATGCTATTATGCATGTTAAAATTTGATTATCACAATTTTGAATTTTTCTCATAAAATTTCACATAATATGATAAAATTAAAAAAAAACTCAAAATTGACTTACTACTTGAATATTGTTCGATACTATATTCATTTACAATCATATTAATTATCGTAGAATTTTATCCTTTAAGTTCTGATTCTTACTCTCATAAACTGAATCAGTGAAAATTAACCGATTGCCTGTGCCAATCCAATGACTGATTTATTCAGTGATAGATCGTTAAATAATTTAGAGTACTGAATCTCTACTGAATATGAAAACGTTCAATTTTAAATATAAAATTTCATTAACATTAAATTATTTTATTTATTTATTTATTTAATGTTCAATTGAATTCTTTTATCTGTTTAAGGAAGATTAAAATTACTGTAATTATTATAATTAGTTTAAGTAAAAATCAATAATACTTCAATATATTTACATAATTTTTTTAATTTAATAAATTTTGTATTAATATTAATTCTTTATAAGCTTTTATATATTAAAAGATGAATAGTAACATTGACTTTATCATAGATACAATGAAATAAATTCCCAAGAGTTATCAGCTATGAATCTGGGTTTATACCTGTAAAGGATCAATAAAGCTTGACTTTCAACCCTTTCTGCAACCTGATTTTTCACAATACGGATTTCCGATACTATTTTGAATACGTTCATATTCTTATTCTACAATAAAATAGCTCTATATAGAATTTATGGATATTGTAAAATTTTTTTCGTATGAAGAAACAAAAAATAATTGCTAATTTATTCGAAAAAACTTCATAACATTTTTTAATATATTTTTGACAATCAGTAATTAATTTTAATGATAAAAATATAACGATACTTGGTAACTTTTATCATATTTTCTTTTCAATAGGAAGGGTAAAGTTTGATTAGGCCCAGAAGTATTTGAAATAAATGTTGTACTAAACTATTTCAATAACTTCTCTATACATGTCAGAACATTTTAAAAGTTTTTTAAAAGCTTCAAGTTCTTAAAGGTTTCAAACCACTTTAAAATAGATGTAACATATTTTTCAATATCAACTTTTCATGGGTTATAATTAATTTTTAAATTATCTGCCTCATGTATTAAAAATTTGAAATTCAAATCAAGACAACCGAATAATTAAATAATTACTTAACTGGATCTATTACAGAGATCAAGTACTAATCTCTGGGGTAAATGGATGGGTGTAATTCATGGCGATGAAGTGGAATATGTGTTTGGACATCCGCTCAACAAATCACTCAAGTACACGGATAAAGAAAGAAATTTGTCCGAAAAAATGATCGATGCATACTCAAGATTTGCTTTCACTGGGTAAGTATATCTAAATGTTTGATTATTTCAAGTTTATTTTATGTATAATACTTTATAAATAATATCCAAGTGTATTTTTACAAAGGATATTCGATTTATAAAATCAGTATTTCAAGTCTACATGAAAAAAGTAAAAATCGAAAAGGTTATATAATATTTTCAATATTGAAAATGAAAATAAATGAGCTGAAGGTTTGTCTTTTTACTCATAGTGATATAAGAGGTTGTGAACAGACACGTTACCAAGATAAAAGTAACCCCTCGAGTCCAGAGTAAGGATGTCAATAATTTCAACTTTACTTGTAGTTTTAATGCTCTTTACACCCATTATTTATACTTTCTCTCCTCATTCATTTCTTTACTAATAAAGAAAAATTACTGTAATCATTCGGAAGATATGAAATAAATTTTTTATCGCTAATCCAATATTCGTTAAATTTTTTATTAACATGTTTTATGAATATTACCAATATACTTTTGTAACACTTATATCAAAAAAAATTAATGTACTTTATAGATACAGAATTTGTCAATGAAAAAATAAATAATATGTTAGAGGAATTTCGTTGATTTACCAGTCTTCGGAAAAATTGGTTACATATTAATCTTAGGAAAAAAAAAAAAAAAGAAAGTATACGTAAAATTTTCCGGTCGAAACAGTATAGTATATCATCAAGGCTATACAGACTACAATAATAAAAGTGGGAAAAAGATATCTGAGTCATATGACTCTCTGAGGAATTATTTGGAAAAATATTGTCGTTTAGCAGCTGTGTGCTTTGAATTTAGATGTAATAATCCATGTTTTATTTATTTTTTACTGTAAATCTTTTTTTTTTTTGTTTTTTTTCTTATCAACCAATCATTTCTTTTGGTTGTTATTGAAATAAGATCTCTTGATTTGACGGTTTATCAATCTATCTATTATAGATCGATTATTTAAATAGAAAACTATTTATATAATATATATATATATATATATATATATATTTAGTTGTAACTCATACGACATATTTTTTATAACAGAAATCCATCGAAAAAAAACGAATGGCCATTGTACACACGTGATTCACCGCAGTATTTTATTTGGAACGCAGAGGAAGAAGGATTAGGTTTTGGACCACGATCAACAGGATGTGCATTTTGGAATGAATTCCTTCCGAGGTTGGAAGGTGTTCCAGGTATAGTATGAAAATAGTTTTTACCTTTATGAACAATTTAGCCAGTTCAAATCAATTATATTGCTTTATACTTTACGATCAGCAAGTTTTTAAGGCAATCATAAAATTTTTAGAGATAAAAGCAGAAAATTATAGCATGATTAAACTCTCAATGATTTAATAAATGTTTGTGAAAAATTCCAAATTAAAGTGAATTGATTTAAGCGACGAAATGAGACACAGTTGACAATAAAAATTTATACCTAAACCTTGATTAACGTTGATCCAATATTGCAAAGATTTTCTCGGTGTTTTTTTCTTTTTATAGAAAATTACATTCCATTGAACCATTTAAAAAAAAAAAAGAAATTAGTTAGACAACTAATAAAATTTGTACCTTTATTACTAGGTTGATTAATTTTATTTTAAATTCTTCCAATAGTTTACTAATTAAATATCTCTGCATACACAATTATTACATTATATTAATTGAATAAATTAATATGAGTTTGACTAAAATTGTGTTCATAGATCCAGCACCAGAAGCTTGTAATGAAGCCATAGCATCAAGTGTATCAGCGGGTGCTCAACAGATACACGAAACTGTTTTTTTACTTTTAACCATTTTTATCTTGACTATAATCATTTAGAGAGTCGTATATGACAAGGACTCTTTTTGAATCCATGATAAATTTAAACAGTCAATTGACTAAACGATCTCTAGAATTGAGATATGCTTTTAGCCATCCAGAAATCTAGTATGTTAATGAATCAAGGGTATTCATAACACGAAAATTAGAAGGAATTTTGTGAAAATAGTTTAGAAAGCTAGCATTTGTGTTCTTCTGATGAATGGAAGACGAGTTCAAAAACAAATTCAAAAATCTAAAAAAAAAAAAAATATTTTTTATTGATGCCTAATTTATTAATTGTAGAACGAAATAAAGTAGTGGAGATGGCGAACGAAAAGTTCATTCTAAAAATAAACGCATTGTAGAGTTGCGCCGGGCACGAATCAATTCAGCTGTTCTCGGACTAGAAAATTAAATTGACGTTTTATGTATATATTAACGAGAGATTACAATTCTATAAATAAGTAGATTTAATTTGTAGAAAATCTATAAATAATGCAGGTGAGAATAGCTTTAATGAATTGCCAATTTCAAACGGTGGCTCTCACATCGCGTCCAATTTAAATCTTCCATTTGGTACATATCATCTTTACATATATAAGTATATTACTATTAAAAAACACACAAATTATATTCATATTGATGTTATTAAAGAGAAAATACAATTTAGCGTCAAGTTGAAGTAGGCAAAAATGATATAAGAGTTCAAATTGAATAAGTACTTGAAATTATTCAAGTATTTATTTATTTTTTTTTCTTCTTTTTTTCTGTTGTTATATATAGATGATGTTTTTTAATGGCTGCAAAGTACAGGGATTTTTAAAAACTAGATTTAATATTTAAAAATTTCTAAAAAATATAATAGATAAAAATTTCCAACTTAAATAAAGCGGAATATTATGATTAAAACTTGAATAAATTGAATGCACAAATAATTACTTTTATTTAAGTTATTGTTATTATTAAACCCCAAAAACACTTTTAATTGTAAAGATAAATTGAATGGAAAATAAATGTATATTAGTTAACATATTTTTAATTTTTTAATAATTAGTATGATATTTCATTTATGTTGGATTTGTTTAATCTCCCCTAAAACTACAGCCATTAATAAGAAAATCATAATTTTATAATGATTTAAGAAAATGTATTAGTAATAACCAAAAAAAAATGTATGAATAAATGAATTGAATAGAAATCAGTGTTCAGCTTATCCTTAAGGAAAATAAAAAATGAGAGTTTGGAAAAAATAATCATTAAATATCAAACAAATGTTTAATAATAAGTAAAAAGTTAATATAGATTATTAATAGTATATATATATATACATATATACATATATATAAATATATGGATGTTATTCATAAAAACAATAACAATGAACAGGAATAATTACATAATACAGAGAACACTCAATCACGTATAAAATTATTTTATACTTGTTATGTAATTTTGCATAGCAACACAATTTTTCGCTCTGGTTATTATTTTCTTATAAACTTATGTTGATTAATAAATATACATGAAATGAAAATAAAAAAACTAAAATACGGTAAATGATTAAATTGAATAACTATTTAAAAATATTCAAACACTGAGGCTGGACCTCGGTATTTTGATAAAAATTATTTGCAAAAAAGATTATTAATTGAAATAATAAAACAATTAGAATTAAAAAAATTATTAAATAAAACAAGTCAAGATATAAACTCTACTTTTAGCAGCTTGAGTTATTTATATTATTATATAATTTACGTGTAAGTTTAATTAAATTAATAAATCATCATTTTTATGGTACAACAATATGCTATTTAGCCGTGAAGAAAAAGAAAGATAATAGTTTTGTTATAATTATTATACATAATAGATTTGAAAAGCACTAGTCTTTACCTATCTTCACTTTCATCGCTACATGATTGATGAGTTTTGAGGATAAATTAATCGAATTTCACTAAATTTATTATTACACAAAACATATTAGAAAATAAAGGGAAGTATGATTATTAAAATATATTGCTGTTAACAGTGCCTCTACGTTCACGTGTAGTATTAAATGGATAAACACAGAATTAGTTTATTATCATTATTATTAAATTATTTTATAATCATAAACAATTAATAAAAGTGAATGATACATTTATGTATAATTATTTAATTATTGTTCCATTTAAATAGTTTTCCAGTATAAATTTATAATAATAAAATTTTTTTAAAAACATTTAAAAATTACTCTCAAAATTATTCTTACAATACAACAAAATTGACTCTACAATATGTCTAAAGTAAGTCTCAAAACCATCAATTATTATGTTTAATGAATTTCTGAATATTAAAGAGAATAGTGATAGGTTGAAATTCTTCAGACAATGCTATTAATTAATGTGAACAAGCACCTCAACTACAATGCAACCCTTACACTTTATTCATTTTTTGAAGATGAACAAAATGTGATAGTTCAATTTTTTTTATGATTTATTCTTAATTAATATTTACAATTTACTCTTATTCAGAATATGTATAGACAATCAGCGCATATTTACACATAAATCATCATTTTTTAATATACAATCATACGTACAAAGTAAGAAGCATAAAACATTGTCATAATACAAATAATAATAATTAGAATAGTATTTATCGATTGAATTTCATCATAAAAAATTTAATCCTCGTAAACATTTAGAATGAATAGTGAAATAAATCTTCTATACTTGACGTCAAATTCTTAGCACGTTTTAACAGCCATAACTTGAGAGTTAGCCTCGAAAACTAACGTAACACGTTTACGTTTAGTTTCTCACAGAAACTTAGCGGCATATAGGAGACTTTATACCAATAAAACTTCTGTACCTAAAATTTCTCGTATTATTAGAGTAAAATCCAGGAGAAATGGTTATCAATTTGTTTATATGAATTAATTATAATTAATAATGACATTGTATAAAAAAATAAAAATATTTTCGGTCATTCTAGCAAGTATTATTTTTATTTGACAATATAAACTTATTCATTTTTTGTCAAAAATTGACGTAATTTTGTGTAAAACTATTTTATATTCATATTCATTAAAATGATTACATCTGGATATAGTAAATGTAAAATAAACAGTTGCTTACGACCCCCGTGCAGTCTATAATTCAAATTAGACACATGTAGAAGTTTTGTCATCACTGATCAAACTGAATTGGTTCTAATTAAATCAACCAGACTTCGTAAACCACTAAATTCAATCAAATCTAATTAAATATAAGTTTGAATTCTAGCATAACCCACATGATGACTCTGATTTCTACCAATTGTAACATTTGCTCTCATTACGATCATATCGATAAAAATAAAATTTATAATTAAAATTAAATTAGATAAGATGCTATTATAATGATGTGAATTATTCATTTTTTTTTAAAATTCTTTTTGGAATAATTTTTATATATGATTTAATATTTGTATACCTTAAGAACTCAAAATTCAGGATAAAAGATTGACCTTTAATTATAGAGGCATTTTGAGTTATTTAATAACTATGGTTTTTGTGGTGTAACGAAAGAGAATAACTAAATTTATTGTTTCATAGAAGTTTCAGTTACTGAGGTTCAACTTGACCGCTTCCATATCTATATGTATTTAATTAAATCAATTGAGACAAAGATTCTAGGATCAGTCCAGTTGTCAATATAATTTTATTTAATGTAATGACTAAATTTTATTATCTCTTGTTCAGTTGCACATGAATCAGTGTCTTTTCTTTCTAACATTATAAATTTATTTAATTAAGTTATTGATTTGTATTAGTTTAATTAATTGATAAATTTTTAAGGTCAAACAATGAATAATTAAAATGGCAGGCATAATTATTTTCATTCCGAATTGATATTATTTATTAGATAGATAAGTTGATGAAGATTTTAGCAAAAGACTGATTTTTTTTTTTTTAATTAAACAAGCCATACTCCTCGATTTTACTTGATAATAATTAAATTTTTTTCATTATCACAGAATAATCACTCTAAAATTTTTCTATAAATTTACACAATCATTAAATGGAAAAGGAAACTATCGAGCTTTTAAACTTGGCGTTAAATTAACTTATAAACGCATGCATGATAATAAACTTAAAACAAATAATAAAAGCTCATGAATGTCCATCATGAGTTAAACAATAAAAGATTACAATTAAAATGAATCGTAGTTCGATATATGTGAGGACCACAAAAGATTTCTAGTCTCATTAGAGAAGCAACTTCAATTACTTCCCTCTACAATTTATTTTTTTTTTAACTCTCTATGTCGGGAAAACACACACACACACACACAAACAAACAAAAAAAAAAGGGATATAGTTGTATGTTGCATATTCTCTAGTGCTCCTCACGACTCCTCCTACAAAGTCAAAAGAATAATAACATTGAAAAAAAAAAACAAACGTTTATTAATGTAGAGAATAAAAATAATAACAAAATAAATATTTTTCTTATTTGCAGTGAGCTTAAGTTTATTTTCTCATATCACTTACTTTCATTGAAAAATAAAAAAAATAAAATTAATATATAAAGCATAAATTGTAAATACGTTGTGGAAGTGGCATTTTTTTGGGAAAATTTATAAAGATTGTTGCATTAAAATAATTATTAATATGTAAATATTTAACGAATGAGAAAAAAAAAATTGTAATATTTAAAAATTGTCATAGATAAATTAAATCAATTTTCATTTTACATTTATAACTTAACAATGGTAAAAACAAATTATTTCAATAGTAAATGCAAAATATTATTTTCATTTTGGCCTAATATTAGTATTGTCATTATTGCGATGAATTAAATGTAAATTAAATGATGAAAACTGAATGTATTAAAGTAAAAAATTATAAATAAAAAATATAAGAATGTCTAATTCCTGTCGAGCTTGCAATTAAATAAGTGGATAAATGGATAATAAGATTATATCGATTCATACCATATTTTATAATAATTTATTAAATGAATTTCGAATTGAAACTTTCATTAAGAATAATGCGGTTTTCTTTTATTCTTTTCTTTAATTTTTGTTAAGAATATAGTATACATACATAGATTGTCAAAAAAATATTGTTATCTATAATAAATTAATTGCTAGAACAAATGAGGTAATGCTTTTTCATCTCCCCGTCTTAATAAATAAAAAAAATTCCATTTATTTTATAATAATGAATGAAATATAATTATCTATTAATGGAAAGATATATGAGTTTCTTCCTCGGAATATGGTGTGGTTAAAGAACTAAATTAATTTTGAAATAAGTAAAGTATGAGAACTTTGTATTAAAATATAATTAATTGTGAAATAAAAGCTTTGACAATTATTTGATACGATTTGTCATTATTGATGAATTGAAAAAATAATATAAAGATAATGTTGGTAAATGATATAAAGTATAGATGAAAAAGGTCAGGACCACATTCCTAATAACATTCACACGAGGTACAATACTTATAGTCAATTACGACGGGCTTTAAAGGTCGTAAACAACGATCTTCGCGTGCAATTTTGCTTCTACGGAAGTTTGTACCTATTTATTGAATTTTTTTTCATTCCGTTCTTTAATCGCCTAGATAAATAAAAATAATTAATAATTGATACGAATTACAGTAATGATATTTTGAACATTATTTTTTCAACTACTATGTGTTTGATAATCTGATTTAACTAAACACGAGAGAAATTACGAATTACTAAGACTTTGAATTATTAAAATACCAAAAGTAATTATAATAATTACTATTTACGGCTGCTCTAAAATAACAATAACTTTTTTCATTTTGTATATTAGATGTAATAATAATTCAAACATTGTAAAAATTAATTAGGTTTTTAAAATTCCTAGATTATTGTATGTATTATTGTATTATTTAGTTAAAAAGTGATTTTTCATCTTCATAATTATTAATCTCTTATTCAAAAATGTGTTTTTTCTATTAATAAATTACAAAAAAATATTATAACATTTTTTTATATTATGATTGATTAGGAATTATTTATTTCAATAATCCATCAAATTTTTGATACTTTTTTTTATCGTAAAGTTTATCTTTATAAAAATATAAATCACTTTGAATGAATAATACAATAACACAAAGTGTCTAGAATATTCTAGACTTTACAGCCTTCAAATGAATAAAGAGAACCAAGTTCTGTAATTATATTACTCACTATAGGTGGGTGACTTTGCTTGTATAAAATTACAAATGATTAATATAATTAGTCTGATAATACTATAAATATATATGTTAATGCTATATGTTATAATTATTATTATATGATAAATGAAAAATAAGAATCTATAAGCTATGTAATAGTAATTAAATGTAGTTGATTAAAACAATACTAAAAAATTAATTATTACTTTCACCTTACACCCATGTCATATTTTAATATTAAAATATTTTTTATTTATTATCTTTATTGCAATGTATTATGATTTATTACATTAATTTTAAGGATTTATATTTATTCGAATTCAATTATTTAGACCAACTTGTAAAAATCACATGGTCCCATATTCATAGTAGTAACAGTACTAGTAGTAGTAGTCAATGAATGGTCAGACGTACATTAGTTGTACTAATAATGATTTCAACTAATAAAATTTTTCAATCTTAGTTGAGATTTTTAGAAATGATACACACATTTTTATTGACGTATTGTAATATTTACAAGATAATTTAAGCAATAGAAATATAAAAATTTTTAATTGTTTATCCTAAATGTTAATTTAATTATAAATCAATAGTTAATTATTAAATTAATTTATTTATATACTTGAACTTAATATACATAATTTTGATTACCATTTGAGTTTTATGGTCCATAGAAAATTTCAATAAATTAGCAATTTCATCATCAAGTTTATAATTTTCATAAAGACGTCAATATGCTAAAAACTTTATGACGTAGTTTCATTATATGAGACTCTTTTTGTGTACTAACAATTAATTTCAAAATGTCGAGGTTATTTTGCAGTTTTTTCATTTTATTTGTAATAGAAATTTTTTAATTTTATAAAACAAGAGATTTGTTATTACAAAGTATCCCACAAATGTTTTTTTCTTTCAAGAAAAATTGAATTTAACTTGTTACTTTCATGTATCTGTATATGTAGAGTAATCGATCAAATGTTTTACTTCCGGCATGCGCATTAACTGGACTATAAGGTTTTATTTAACTAGATAACGTGAAAAAAAAATTAGTTATTTAGAATTTTAATTTTCAACCTTATCAATTTTTTTTAACACAATTGGCTCTTTTAATAAAAAAAATTGAAAAAATTAGCAACCTAATTTTATTTTACATTGAAATAAATCAATGAGAAAATTCAATATTAAAATATGTTTGCTGAGAGATAATCATCAATAAAAAATTTTCACAGCATATGATTATCGATCATTTTAAATTTATCATTATGTAAATTATATGTATAGATATGATCTAAAAAATTAATATATTATTAAAAAGTAAAAAAAAAGGTTTTTTCATTTATCAGTAAGAGAATTTCGTCGCAACCTTTATTCGTTATCCTTAAAAAAATTATTACAAAGAAATTAAAATTTATTCCAAGTGTATTATTATATTTTAAATTTATTCAAAATTAGTTATACTGTCTAAATTTTAACATCAGTGGTTTATAAAAATCACATGGATACAATGAAAAAAATCCCTACTATAATAAAAGATCATCCACACCCACAAATTTCCAGTATCACCTTGAAACCTTCGGTTCTATATAAACTCTGACACACTGTTTGACCATCTATTAACTCTTGTCCACATCAGTAAACGGATTTATTATAACTTTAATCCATTTTTGTTAAGCAAAAATACTAAATTAAAGTTTTATTATGGATTCATTAGTTAAATTTATGTTTGCAATTATCTTTTTGTCTACTTTCGTCATCATTTCTTCTAGTTGCATTGGAAAAACTATTCTACGTAAGTACAAATTGTGATAATGCATTTTAATTTCTTTTTTATAAGTTGAATTTTTTTTAGAATATCTATTTATATTCAAGTATTTGTGATTTGTTTAAAAATATCAGCATAATACTTTATTTTTATTTGACGAAAAATGACTCAAAAATTTATTCAGTTTTTTTATTTTCATCTATTCAGTGTATGTAAGAAATAAGAAACATTTACGTTAAAATAAAGATCTATATTGAAGCATTATATATATTTTCCATGATAATTATGTAACTAGCATACTGTTATCTAGATAAAATATTATTTTTTAACTTTAATCGATTTTTAAAAGACTGTATTTTTATTTACATGAAATTTGATTTGCGGAAATGACAGAGGCTCGGTTGAAATGTCACGCCTAGTATGAATCTGTGTCGTGAGAAAATGCTGGTTTAACCTGAATACTCATAATACATCTGATGTTATTTATTCATGTGTTGCTATGTATTTTAATTACTAATTAAAAATACCTTCATTGTATTTTTATATGAAATTTTTACTACTTTTAAGTATTAAGTACTTTTAAGAGTCATTATTCTTTTCACCTTAATAAAAATAATAAATTAAGTATGATTGAATTTACTTATTAATAAAATTTGAAAAATTTTATATTGAATTATATGAGACTAAAGAGAAATGTATTCAGGTAACAATGTTGAGGAATTATCGTAAAACCTCCGGATTCCTTGAAAAAAATGCTATTAAGTATTATTAATTATGTAAGATGAAAGTCCAGGTTAAGCAGAATATCTATTTTGCCTTGAAAATTTTTAGACGATTTAGGAAAGTATATGAATCTAGAAATATGATAACGATTTAAAACCGGCTCCAATCACAAGTTGTGTCAGTTCCACATTCTTCTTTTCTTTAACTTTTTCCTCACAATTATTTTTAGAATTAAAAGAAATATATTTTAGAAGAAAATAATAGTAGGTTTGAAAAAACGTGAACGTAAAATTAAATGAATTAATTAATTTGAATTACAATTAATACATTTTTATCAATTTTATTATTTTTCATTCATTCAGAAAAAAATGAGTTCATCGATTTTTCAATCAATCAAAAAAGTTTCATAGCAGATTTTAAAAACTTTATCATCAGAAATATATAGAGTACATGTTAGATTCATCAATAGAATATTTTTTTCTCATTGTCAATTAACTGTTAATGTATAACTTATTTTATGGTAATACTTTTTTATTTTTCAAGCATAAAATAAGATTACCATGACAGAAATTTCTTCAAAATCTAAATTAAATGTCATTTCTATTAATATTGACCTGCTAATGACTGATAGGAATCGGTGGTTTATCTTGCCAAGATAAACAAACAATTCTTGATGAACACAATCGTTTGCGTCAACTAGTAGCACTGGGACAAGTGCAGGGTCAGCCTCATGCTGCCAATATGAGAGAGATGGTAAGTGTTTATGAAAATAAGTGAAATATAATAAAGGACTAAGAAGATTGATTTAAACTAAAAGTTGTATGAATTTTTAGTTGATAAAATTTTTGAATCCTATAAATAAGTAGATCTTTAGTAACTTTGAAAATGATCTCAATTTAAATTGACATGATATATTTATAATTGAAAACTATCAACAATTGATCAATTTAAATTTAGATGATAATAATAAAAAAACAATACTATTTATTATTTTTTAACAAGAGGGAAACAAAACAAATTGTCAATTTATTTTAGACCAGTATTGTATGCATACTCTAAGATTAGCATTGTCCCCATTGTCTTTTTTTACTGGTTGATGAATTTTTTACATCAAGCCTTTATTTTATTTTTGTTTTTTTCTTTATTAACTTCTTCTCCTTTATCTTCTGGCTATTTTACACTCGAGATTTGGGATGATGAGTTGGCAACAACAGCACAAAGATGGGCTGAAACTTGTGCTGAATTTCACGATTCATCACGTCACGTTCGTAAGTATTTGTGTGAAATTTATATTTATTGGGCAATACAATAATATGATATTTTTCTAAATATAAATAAAGAAAGTATTTTTTGTAATGAAAATTAATGAATTTTAATAATAAATGCGTAGGAAGATTCATTGTAGGGCAGAATATTGCTCGAACATGGACGAGTAGACCATTAGGACCCTATGATAGCGCACCAAACTGGCGAAGACAAATTTCCGGGTGGTTTAGTGAAGTTCAATTCTATCACGGTGGATATCATCCAACTACAGGTCATTACACTCAGGTTTGTAGTTATCTTCCATTTTAATGAGAAAGTACGTAAAATAACAAATACGTTTGTAAAAATAAAAAATATTTTTAAAATGAAATAAAGACGGGAAATCAAGTTATACTATAAAATTAAAAAAAATAAAGGTGTGAGAATATAAGATAAAAGTTTAAATAGTCAATTTTACGTTAATTTTCAAGTATTATTTTTAATAAAATGTATTTTATTGGAAAAACATTCAAGGTTGTTTGGGCAAATACATTTTTAATTGGCTGTGGATATACATATTTTTATGATCCTGCTCGTGGATATACAAAAAATTATGTCTGCAATTATGGTCCAAGGTAATGTACAATTCAATTTTGCTCTTTAGTATTTGAAGATTTCTTAAAAAATTTTTTAAAACCACAACAGCTTGAAAAATTAATAGTGTACTATTTTTTTTTTGTTAATTTTCGTCATAAATATTTATTTTTAATGAAATAATAATTTTGTTTTATTCAGTGGAAATATTATTGGCCAACCTCCCTATCGAATAGGACAACCATCATGCAATCGTTTCGGATTGGCTTATTCGAACAGATATGCTGGCCTTTGCTGTAAGTAATCAATCGAATTTACATTTATTTTGTACGATACAAAGTTTTAATATTTAACTTGAGAATATAAGAGACTTTTGATCTTTTAATTTCTATTAGAAAATATTCTATAGTAATTAAAACATATTTAGCAACAAAAAAAGGTGAATATATAATTAAGTAACAATTAATTAACTTGCAGCTCGGGATAATATATATTATCTAGGGGCCTTCTGTACGTATTTATTTTGACAATTCAAATGGATATATAAACTTATAATGTCATAAAAGTTTGCGTGCACCCTAAGTCCACAAAAAAATAAATAAATGAAGAAAAGATCTTATATGTATATATTGAAGTCAGACTGCAATCTCACGCTTTTTTAATTTCCAGCCAATAGAAGGTTACACTAATTATTTCCAATTGATATTCATACTTGTGCACGATGAAAAACTTTTAATAGAAATACCACAGATTTGATTTACATATATAGATTGAGTTTATTAGCTGATGGTTATTATGAGAATGGCGACGTTCATGTTCTTCTGAATCCACTTGAACGCTATTGAGGAGGACCATTTTCATCGCACACAAGGGATTTTTACAGTTTAGACAGCAATAAAGTTATTGCCAACATTTATTGTTACAAATAAATACATTTATAAGAATATAAAATTTTTATATCTTTTTTATTTCTTTTACGGTGGATGATTATTAACTAATCCATTGGAATTATTAATAAATATTATGATAAAAAATTAGTTTAAATAATGAAATAATAAAATAATAAATAAGCTATATTCCTTAGCGTATTTTTCTTTTTAAATTTTAAATTATTCAGTTAATTTATAATTAACATTAACAATACTACTTAAAAAAAAACCATCTTTTACTAATCTTTGATAAGAAGGAAATTAATCTTTCATCTATTGATTTTAAATTAAGTGAACAAATTAATCGTGTATTCAATTAGTCATTCTTTCGCTCAATAAATCTTAATATACTGTATGACTTGTAGTATACATATAGTGATCAATTTCTTAATATTATTCACAATCGATGACAACTCAATTGAGTATCATGATTTTTTATTGGCTTTTATTTTCAAATTTTTTACTTCAAATTTGGGCTACCAAGTGTAAGAAGATTGAAATTTTAGGTGAGTTTCGAGTTTATTCTTTACTATTAATTTGACATTTTTCTGGAATTTATTTATAGTTTCACATCAAGTTTTATTTGTTACTTCAATTTTTATTCAAAAATTGATTGAGAAACTAATTTTAAAAAATCACTATTTTAAATAAAAAATTATTACAGAAATTGGCGAAATATCGTGTGATTTGAAAAACGAGATTCTGAAAACTCACAATGAAATACGACAAAAAATAGCTAATGGTTCGATAAAAAATCAACCACCTGCAGCCAATATGAGAGAAATGGTACATAGAAAAAAAAATACTTTTCAATGATGATCATTATAATTTATGTTATTTAATTTACGATTACCATTATTATTTGAGTTTATTGTTTTGTAAATTATTTGTTATATTTAATTAATAATCACAATAGTAATATTTTAAACATAAAATAGTGAATATCATTAAATTTTTATTTGATATAACACGTGATTTTTATTGGTTTCATTGAGTATTGGGACGAAGAATTGGCAGAAAAAGCACAAAAATGGGCAAATCAGTGTAAATTTGCCCACAGCAATGTTGCAGAACGAAGAACAAGTAAGCTAATTATGGAAGTAATAATTATTGAGTAATTATAAAAAATTATTATTAAATATGTATGTTAGGCAAATTCAACAAAGTTGGACAAAACATTGCAATTAATCGAAATCGATCACGTAATGCTTTACCAGAGAAAGATTTTATTACAGAAATTCATAAATGGTTACAAGAAGGAATGAATTATAAATTTACACCTCTAGACCTTGAACAAGTAAAACAATTTGGCCATTATACCCAGGTAAATAATAATCAATACTGAATATAATCATTCAGAATTTTTAAATGAATATCCTATTTGCAGCTTGCTTGGGCAAATACACACTTGGTTGGATGCGGATATTCACAATTTCGCATTAATAATATTACCAGTCGCTTATATGTATGCAATTACGCTGCTTCGTACGTATAAGATTTAATTACTCATCGTAATAATACAATTTTATTAAAATTCTTTAAATTCTTAATCATTACTCGAAATACGTAAAACAATCAAAATATAAAAATAAATAAAAAGAATCAGTTGTAACAATCGATTTGATTATTTAATTATTTTCTTATTGAATAATATTTCTGTATTATGTTAATTGAATAATAGCAAAATTTAATTTAATTAAATTTTAAATATAATTTAATTATTATCATTATTAGGAAAAAAAATTTAATATAAATATTAAGAGATAAATTTGTTAAAAAAATAGTAAAATAACTTTAATGAGGAATGTTATATTAATTAAACAAAATATCACGTCCACAGTGGAAATAATTTTAGTGATCTGCCTTACATCCCCGGAGATCAAAAATGTTCGGAGGAGTTCACTCGTTCTACAAAATATCCTAGCTTGTGCAGTATGTTTTTATTTTTCATTCATCATAAAATTATTATACAACATAAATAATATTTTTTATTATCCTAAAAATATATCAATCGAATAAAATTCAACAGGTACCGAAAATACTTTAGAATTAAGTTGCGAATCAGAAAAACAACTAAATAATAATGATTCACCAGATGACATTACATTGCGAAATGATCCAAAATCATCTTGGGATGGACAGAAATCGATAATAAAAGAACCAAGTAATGAATTTACAATCGATGACTTCAAATTAGATAATATCAAACCGGATGTGAATCAGTTGCGTGACGGTGTTGCCATTACTAATCTTCAGGTAGATAAGATGTACAATATCCTGTATTTCTAGATATCGCGTGACTGATTATTAAATGGTATTCAGTTGAGCAAAGTCTAAAAATATGGTGCTAAACGTGTGTTTTGATAACAATAAAACAGCCTATCATACCTAAAATATGTTTTTGAATAATATCTAAAATAATAAAGTAAACAAATCATTAAAAAAATAAAATTTATTGTTCGTGAAAAACTTATTTTTAACTCATCATTTAATGGACATTGTTTGGATATTAATTGATTTTTTATTACGAAAAAAAACCATTATTTCGTTTTTCAAAAAAACAATTTTATTTATCAATTATTTTATATTTTCATAAGTATTCTATATGAGTTATCATTTAAGAAATAATCACGAGATATAAAATATGTTATTGTTTCCTTTAAAAAAAGTTTTGTGCACAAATATCACTAATAAGTATATGGTCAATGAATATTTCAAGTTTTCTTCTACTATTGAAATAAAAAATACTTAGTTCTTTTAATTTGGTTTTAATTTTTACATTCATTCATTTTACCTTCACATTATTGTGTCTATTTTTAAATCTATCGCATTTTTTGTTATACTCATGTTATCAACATAGAACATCCTTCGTTATTTATATATTATATTTACAATTTGTGTCTATTAAAATAAGAATTTGTCATTAAGAAGAATGGTTATAATGTAAATTAAAAAAAATCTATCTCTTTAATTAACAATTAATTAATAAAATATTTGTAATTTTATTTTTGTTTTTCCACTTCACTTTTCTGTTTGACAATTATTTTTTACACTTTTGTATTCAACGATTTAATTCCTTGGAAGATTTTTAATTAAATAATATTTTATTTTAATTATAGCATGCTGTTCCCAATATTAAAGATTTGATAATTTTTTAAAAATTTAGAATTTGTTTTAGATATTATTAAAGTCTTGGTGCTGCTTGAAATCTTGGTAAACTGAGGCCAAATTTAGTTTCTATACCTGACAGAATTGGGACTGCTACCTCATAACCGCCTATATGATCAGTATTTTTAGATTTTAAGTCATCAGCTACCCCAGTTGATGGAACTTTGAGATCAGAACCAGCAGGACGACTGAAATATGAATTTAAAAATATAAATTTTATGTAATTGAAACGAAAAGCCTGTTTGAAAAAAATTATCTATATTATTCCCGGTCTCTTAACTTAAAATGTTGATAACATTTTCATTAGTATTCGACCATTTTTTTTTTTTGAAATAATTACTTTCAAACATAAACTAATTTAATAAGTTAATTTAAATTTAAACAATAATCGTCTGTATTTTTTAGTTATATTATTTAAATTTTTTATAAATGTAATATAAGTATTAAATTTACTTACGTTCCTCCAAAATCAACAACAAACAGTCGCTGTAGAAGCTCGTACGTGAATAAAGTAACACCAAATTGAGGCGAAGATCTGAAAACTCGAGCTAAAAAAATTAAAGTAATTCATTAGCTAATATCTATAATGTTTTCTCTCACTAATAATTATTATTAATTAATTACCAATTTATCTATGTAAAGTTCATTCCAATTTCAAAACATTCATTTTTGTAATAAAATACATAACGATAATTAACAATCAGCAAAATCATTAATTTTTCCACCAAAATTATCATAATGAAGAAAAGATGAATATGCTATGTTACATGATATGATTAAACACTGACATTAATAAACGATATTAATATATTAAGACAAAAGTTCAATTATATCGAATTTTTTACCATCAAATTTTACTTACTAACCCGCAAGTAACCAAGGTCATACAGGGAAGAAAGAAGACCATTTAGTCAGTACAACCAGGTCCCAAAACCCGGCGTGTATATACATTTATAAAATAAATTACTAACTATAGCATAATACTAATCTATAAGCACAAGGCTATTGTTTTTATTTATCTTAAATCATCAGAATCATTTTTGAATTTTTAAAATTTTATATTAACTATCTATTAAATTGGTCTAACAATTTAAATTTCCCTAATAATTATTAATGAGCATACAAACCTGTTGCACCTTTCCAAAATGCTCTTGCACCTTCCTCTCTATAAATTTTCCTAGCGCAATCTAATAATCCATTATACGTTGTTTGACCTTTTCTCGCAACGACCTAGTTATTGATAATGCAAATAAGATTTTCAAACAATTAATATGAAAGGATCATAATAACACTATTTCTATGTAATACCTTATAATTTAAAATAGAGTTTAAAAAAATTTATTGATTTTCAAATCACCTGTAGTCTTGTTTTAATGACGTCTGCTGGAGTAACTAAGGCCGCCGCTGGAACTCCAGCAATAGCGCCAGCTGCCAATAAAGACAACGGAGTATTATATCCACCTTCATCAGCTAATTTCGTTTTAGTATGGGCATACATCGGGAAATATATAGCACTAAATGGAACGTCTCGAAGAAAACATGCTCTTGCGCCCTAAAAATTTCGATAAAAAACCATTGATAGTTTTTAATACGAAAAAATAATTGAACATAATTTATTATTTACCTTGTAAAGTCCAAATAATCCTAACTCTTTCACAACTGCCCAGGCTCTTACTTTTTGTGCGCCTGCAATTTCACCAGCAACTTGTAACCTAATTTTAACAATTTCTAAAGGATTTGTAAAGATAACTTGTGATCCTCCTGCCTATAAATAAAAGAAAAGTTTAAAAAATGCTTTTAATAAAATAAAAAATAAATATGTATAAATAAGTATATTCTTACACAAGCTCCAGAAATAATTTCCCCAAGAAGATGAATATTTCCATTTTTATCCATAAATTTATCTCGTACAAAATCATTGACTGTTAACTTAATAGCTTTTTCAGGTGCTACACCCATCAATTGTGGTACTAGACCTCGATAAAGTCCGAAAAATCCTTCATGCCGAATAACCTATTAGAAATCATTTTTTAATAATTAAGTTCTCAGAATAGGATTATTTAATTGTAGAATTTATTGATTGCATACCTTCTTACAGCAATCAAGACTATTTCTGTACATTAATTCACCAATAAAAGAACCGGTTCGTTGATTTTGCATTCGTGTTTTAACTAAATCAATTGGATATACTGCAGTTGCTCCAACTGCACCTCCAATTGACCCAAGAGTGAATCGATAGCTACTCTCAAGAATTTGTGTGATGATTCCCCGTTCATCAGGACTCTGGAAATAATTCATTCCTTTTATTATTATTAAAAAGATTATTCTGAATCCAAAATTATTTAACTTTAATTTATAATACATATTACTGATAAAATAATATTTTGTCCATATAAATGAAAATTAATCCAAATTAATACTTTTGAAATGAACATTCAGAAAAATTAATAGCATTCAATATCCGAATACAATGAAAATAAAGTTATACTTACAGAAACTGCTTTTATTTCTGCTAAACGTCGTGTTATATGTTTAAAATACTGCTCAGGTGTGATAGCAACGAGATCATTATAAATAATTTTGCTAGTTTGTCGTAATAAATCACAAAGATGAAATAAAATGTCCACTTCTAATGGTGTAATTTGTGACATCATTTGGGCTGAGTGTAAAAATTCTTCTTTCGTTACTTCTTGATACCTGTGGCCGTTTGTTGCATTTAAATAAATTCTCTTGATAAGTTCCATGTTGTTTAAAAGTGAATTAAAAGCCATAAAATAAGGGAAACTGACTTTTCGTCCACTGTGTGCTGTAGTAGCTGCAGCCAACAAATTCTCTTTAACTTCTTTTGTTAATAAATGACTTTTAATATTTAACATAATTTCTTGAAAATCGGCCACTGATATAAAACCAGCTAATTCCGTGTCAAATTTTTTGAAAGCTTCTGTTGCATACTCTTCATGAAAATCGTGTAGAAATTGGCTAAATTCTGCATAACTTACTAGTCTCTTTTTATCTTTACCAAAATAAAGTTTGATAAATGTACTGTCCATATTAAATGGCATTTTTTGATGAAGTTCAGTCTTTTTCATCACCTCAGCGAACTCCTCTGGAATTAAAAAAAAATATTTTAATCACTTTGAAAAGATGAAATAAAAATATGGATTAGAATCTAAAGTGTTCCATTTTAATTACAGCATTTAATCCCTTAAACAGGTACGTCGGGTGTTTTAACATCCCAGATATTTATTTAATGATATATCGAAAAAATGAATGTTGAAAATTAAATTAGAAAAAAGTTACCAACAATGCACTAACCAAATGCAACCATTCCATTTCCATTAGTATCAAACAATTGAAAAGCCGTTTTATATAGGGCATCTGGCACACAAAGAAGTCCTTCAAATGCTTGAAATTCAGCAAATGAGATAAGTCTAAAAAAAAAATATAAACATATTAAATAATGATGAAAAATGATATATTATTAAATAATTTATCGAGTTATTCTTTATTATATTTTATGGTATTGAAATTACTTACCCATCTTTATTTGTATCTACAATACCAGCAAGTAAAGCTACAGAGTCTGGATTGTAATCAACATTTGTATATAAGCCCAAATAACTTCTCACGAAATCAGATGAAGTCATAAAACGTTCTCCATTTTTTTCTTGAGTTGCATACTAAAGTTAAATTATTTCATTATTAAATTCCAATTATGTAAGCTTAATGATTGATAATTATTTTATCATAATCTTGCGATCCTAGTGACCTCAATCATAAGAGAAAAATATTTGAAAATAAAATGACTTATCTATAGATAGTTTTAATGATGGTAATAATCAAAATAATAATGTAATTTCATGAAAAACATTAATACCAATTGTTTGTTCAATACCTGTTGAAAAATTTCATGAAGTCGCTCACTGTTAGCTCGCTTCAAATATCCAGATCCCTGAAAAAAAATTAAAATATAATGAAAAAAGTAAAAAATAATATCTTTGCTTAATTATAAAAATTTAATGCTATACGATAGAATCAACAAGTTCATGTTGTGATTAACATCGATAAAGGTTATATTAAAAGAACTGTAAATTGTTGCCAAAGTCATTTTAAACATGTCCACTCGACGGTCATGACTAAAAAACTATCGACCTTGTTCTAAAGTAGTGTCTTAAAAATTTGCACATGTGTGATCTTTAGTAATCTTCATGGTCACGTGGTCATTGGATGATTGAAACATAAAATGTGACTTCCTTTTAACAAAATCAATTAAAATAGTTTTAAAACATCTTATATCAGATCACTACTTTAATAAATTTTATCTTAACATAATCTTAAAAAAGAATAACTGCTAAATTGTTAATGCTCATTTACTTTTGACGTTGGCATGACAATTGTTAACTTCCTGATAAACTGTTGTAATCTTCGTTATTTTTTGCCGATTTTATAGTTCGAAAACACTTTCTATCAGTTAATTATCAATAAAAGTTATAATGTATTTAAATTTTAATAAATAATTTTCCTGAAATGTCTTTCAGTTTTTGATTTTACGTCAGCAATTTATATATGCATACAGTTATATGCACGATACACTACGAAATACGAATTGTACTAAATATACTCAGATCCAATAAGATAGGTATATATGAAAAATAAAGACACCGAGAAGGAGTAAGAAAGATAGATAATATTTCCCCTTCCTTTATGCTCATTTAACACGTAAACATCATCTTTGTATGTATATTGTATGAAGCTTAAGACAGAATGGTATACACATTATATACTAATTTGAACATATCAATTCAAAAATTATATAAAACATTTCCATAAAAAATTATAAGTTTTATTTTATGTATTGAAATTAATTACAATATGTTTACATTAATATGATTACAAAAAATATTTTTTTAGATATTCCCATAATCTTTAATGTATATATATATATATGTATGTGCTAACTTACTGATTTTTCTATTTTATTTATTTAAATAATTACTATAAACTTACGATGAAAACATTACTGTTGAGTTACTATAATTTATTTTACTATAAATAATTCTTTAAAATTGAAAAATAACTTTTGTGTTTCCAACATCAATTTGGAAAAAATTAAAAGCCATTATTTAAAAAATATTTATAAAAATAATTGATTGAAAAATTAAGATTAAGTAGATCAACAAGTACTGTAATGATACTACCGTATATTATATTTCATTTGTTTCATATTTTTATAATCAACTATCATTGTAAGTCTTCAATAGAATTTTTTATTAATGCATTAATAAATAAGTTATTAAGTTAATTTTAATTACATTTGTTTATTGTACATTTAAATTTTTAAGATACAGATTTTGTTATTTTATTACTTCATGACGCAATTTGGTTTCCTACTTATCTTTTCTCATTCATTATTATCACTACTTAGAATATACATACACACATACTTATTTGATATATTAATACTAGTTGCAGGGGGTCTACATTGAGCTCAGGGACATTTATCATCAACTGGAGTAACTAATCTAGATGAGATAATAGATGAATGTAATAATTTTGTAAACTATTTTGCATACAAATATCTATATATATCTATCTTTCGATACTTTGTCAAATAATATTTATAAAATAAAATCTAACTCACTTTAAAGTAGTCTGTAAGTTGGATCAAGTAAGGAATATTTTATTTTATCACATTTAAATATAAATGATTATTAATTCTTGATGATAATTAAAATATACTAAAACATATTGTCATTGAAACAGTCTTGATAAACACTTTGTTTATTGGAGATAACGTAAAAAAATAAGGAAATAATATATATTTTATTTTTTGCTTGAACAAATATTTTACTTTTATCATTTAAAATTATTATGTATATTGGTTTTCAACAAAACGATGAAACTCTCTATTAGAGATATCTTCGAAGAAAATACTTATTTCTAAGACTTTAATCATACATTCGTTTTGCACACTTTTCTAATGTCAATTAAAAAATAACACAATAAGTAATTTCCGGAATAATTCAAAGTTCATAGTATTCGAGGTAAACTACATCAAGTTATATCATACTAAGAGTCGATACAGCTTAATACAAGGTCACAATCAAGTGACAACGAATAGTTTGACTTGTGTTAATACACTATAACTCAATGCAAGAAAAATATTATATCAATAAATAATGGGTTAATTTTTATTTAATAAAGAGTTCAATTAATATACTAACCCAGATTTTGAGATCTAAAATTTTGTACTAAAATTAGAATCCTATCTTTAATGAAATCTATTAATATGTTGTTCTAATTTATATACATGAAAATCTGATTAACCAACAAAGAAAATCCATTTATTATTCCATGAGAAAAATATAAAAAAAATATTCGTAGTAAAGTTAATTATTGTCTTTACAGATTTATGTTTGGGTGTTTTTAAAAAAATATTTTTATAATTATTTAACATAGTTCATATGACTGCATATAGAGAGGTAAAAATACCTTGTTCGGTTAATTCAATTGACGTACGTATTTTAATAAAAAACTATATTGTATAATTTTTCTTGATAGATAATGCTTCAAAGAAGACACTATATATGTTTTATCGTCCAATTATTAAAAATAATATATTGAAATAACATAACTATACATTTTGAAATAAAATAAGGGATAACAAGATCGAGAGGGAGGATTGAAAATTAGTTCTGGTGACCTCAAAACACTACTATTCGTAAAATGGATATGCTACGATCGATATCTTAACAGTCTTACCATTTATTTCATTTTGAACTTTATTGAGATATATATTAGCGATTTAAAAATATAAATATGCGTCTTACAATTATCTTTATTCATTACTTGAAATATGAGTATGTCTCATTAAAGATTTCTTAAAATAATAAAATTCTTATAATTTTTAAACTTAAACTATCATATTTCTTCCCCCATTTTTATGTAAAATTATATAATAAAACTTACCTACCTCTTGACAGGATGCTTCGACAAAAAGCAAATCTCTCCACATTCCCAGAAAAAATTTTTTATTTTCAACAATCACTTGATTATACTTTATAACAATGAAATTCTTCAATAATTGTAGAAAACAAATACTTTTCAATACTTTGTAAAAATTAACTTGATAAAAAATTAAGTTGTGATTGAATGTCTGTTTTATTTAATTATTAAGAATAAGCTTTTTATTGGAGTTTTCGTATTGTTATTTAGTTGACAAACGTCACAAGCAACATTTGAGAGCACTTTGAGGAACGGAAGCAAAATATCTGATGAATACATATAACACTTGAGTGACACCTATTGTAAGATTTATAAACTTAGTATTTTTTTTCTATCGATGTAAGAGAAATAGAATAGATGGCCTTGAAGTCTATTTCTTTATCAAGCCAAAATCATTAATATACCATGTCATATGTATATGTATCTTCATTTTCTGTTTATTCCTACTGGGAGTACTCACTTTCAACTAATTTGCCGATTATTTCTATGACTATTATGGTGAATTTGTTGGATACTTTTTCAATGTTGAATTAATCAATAAATAGTTTAATAAACGTATACAAAAGTAATTGTCAGTACATGAATTTATAATCAATTGTTAATCTAAAGTTTTATTCAACATGTACTTGCTAACAGTTCACTGTAGACGATTAAATCATTACACAAAATTATTACGTACACCGGCTGTATCTGCAATTTACAACCGATTTGCTGCTTACGATTCTACTAAATTTCCAGGATACAAAGTAGTCTATGTTTTAGACCATATCCAAAGAATTGGTAGTATTAACAGATTAAAATACCGAATTTCAATTAGTACCGCAGTCTTTCTTCCTGTGGTATATGGATTATTGTCTATACATTCATTATCCTACGAAACAGCAGTAATTTTTGCTTTTTATAGTGAGTATTTTTTAAATTTTCCTTTCCTATGATGGATTTAAAAGATGTGAAATCTTCGGAAATATTTACTAATTTTATAATTTTTTTTTTGTTCCCCAGCATTGACTACAACTTTATTTTTCCATGCTGTTGGTATATTTTGCAATAATGTTGTTGGTTATATTTATGCGAAAAATCAAACAAAAGAGGTGATAGTTTCATACGTAGACTTTTGGGGAAGAAGGATTGATGTCAATACCAAATATGCTGACATAAATATCACAGAATCAAATAATATCATAAGGAAATCGACTTTTAATGATTTGAAAATTGATTCACACAATAAAACCCTCAAGTTTTATATTAACGGAAAAATTTTAGATGATAAATTGCTTGATAAAATATGTGGTATAAATTTTGAATAAATATGAATGTATATATAATTAGTTATTAAAGCTATTTTATTTATAAAATATTTTATACAAGTTTATGACCATCTAAAATGGGCATAAGCACGATTTAGTTCACATTGTTTATGAAGATTTTGTTTTATTTTAACAACACGTCCCTATAAGAAATTTTATTAAAATAAATTAGTGAAAAACTATGATATTCAAAATCATTACTTACAGTATTATCTGCTGCATCAAGTAACTCTTTTGCTAACACAACAATAAACCGTAGATGTTTGTCCTTTTCTTTTGCTGTTTTCCACAACCAATTCATGGCCATAAATCTTGACTTTGGTTCTAACAGAGGTGAAGGTACCTACAAAAAGTATAACAGAATAAGGAAAGACTTTAAGATAAAAGTTGACTCCAAAAAGTAAGTATTGTTTAATAGAACCATCATTAAACTTACTTGATATGTAGTACCTCCTTTCTTTATTGGCATAGTCATCATGACAGGCATCGTATTTTCAATAGCTTTATGTAAAATTTTAACAGGATCTAATTCAATTTGACTACGTTCTTCAGGACTGGCATTATGGTATTTTTTTAATTGTCGTCTTTTTATTTCTTCAAAAGCTCCTTCTACAAGAGTTCTAGCTAGTTCTTTATTACCTTTTCGCATAATGTAATTAATAAATTTGCTAAAAAAATTTCATTAATTGATGATGAATTTTATATTATCAATTTTTATTAAATGAATAATGAATATTTATATATAATTTACCTCACTGTTGGATCATAGAATTCTGAACATGTTTGATACGTTAAAACCGGACGAATCGGCTCATGAGCTAATTTTTTTAATTCACCACTTAATTCCAATGTTGCTTGATCTTCTTTTCTAAATACTGGAAGTTTGTAAGTTGGAGGATAAACCGAATAAAGCCGAGTTGTTTGGATATCTTTGAAACTAGCCCAATAATGAATAATGAAGTTAATTTTATTAGATTTTATCATTTAAAATAAATCTTAATAATAACAAAAAATTATAAAAAATGTAAATTATTATTATATTAATAAATAACATATTCCAGATATTGAGAATTTAAAAAAGATACAATCGTGATTATTTGTAGATATTTTATAGGTTAGGTGTACACTGGAATAGGTTTGTTTGATAATATCATTAAGTAATCTGAAGGAAATTAATTAAATAAATAAAATTTATTAAATATTAACTTACTTAAATGAATTTAAAAGTTTAACATGTGATTGCAAATGACTTAATTTATGTCGAATGTTAATCATTTTTTTTCTTGTTTATGTAAAATTCAAGTATCACGTGAATGAAGCTACAAACGTTGAATTACATCAATCGTCAATTCAGTTCCCGGTTTTCTGGGCTTAGTTCACCAGTCACTCGGCGGCGTGTTTTATGTGTCGCGCAGCTCAATTTTTACTGATTTTCGTTATTGTGTAGAGCTTATTTTTATCGAAAAGTATAAAAGTTGATTACCAATTTTCATCTTAAAAGTAATTAACTTGTATGTGAATCAAGAAAAGCTGAAAGAAAAAATAATTTGGAGTTATTTAACTGGTCAAATTATTGACCAGACAAATGATGCGTTATTCGCAAAACCTCTACGTTTGGTTAATAAATTCTTGCGGTAAGGTCTCCTAAAAGGAGTGCCTTGACAAGTGTTTTTTATTCAGTAATATTTAGAACACCTGTTTAACAAAATGGCTGAGAGCCAAGGCAATTCTTCGAATCAAGTTAATCAAGGTAAGTCTTTGGAGCTTAATGGTTTTCGCGCCTCTTAATTTGACATTCCAATGCTGCGACTAATCCTAACCTACGCGATAATCACTCATCGAATTTAGCTTGACCAAAATCTTAAAAAAAACATTTTTGAAAAACCTTTTTTCATCAAAGTTTATCGGAAATATTTTTATATAGTATTCAGAAAGCTTTTTTAGTTCCAGGATCAGAAAGAACATTTAATTTTCAACGTCTGGACTTTCGTTCGAACAATGACATTCAAAAAGAATCAGGTATGAAAATGCGAGAATATTGGAAATCAATTGTTGAATTAATTTTATTAACACCTTGCTCCAGCAATGATAATAATAACTTGATGAATGTATTACAGCAGAAAAACGACGACAACTTAAGCTTGCTTTTCCAACTCAATGTAGCAGCTTATCAACTCCAAATTTCACTAATTCCAGTAATTCTAATTCTACTGAGACTTCAGCAAGTTCTCCTGTACCGTATGTATCCACTTAAAATATTACAGTGTGATACACTAATTGTTTTTTTCACAAAGTAAATTTTTGATTCCCAGAATTTACAACAAAACTACGGAATTTTTTAAATTCAATCACAAACAAATATTTTATTACTGCTATTTTTGCATCAATTAATTTTATTTTTTTCCAGATTATCACGTCCCATCTTGCCTTTACCATTAACAAAGTTACCAATTAAATCCCGAACTGGACAACAACAGGGTTACTTTCCTGAAAAAGCTCGGTACGATCTCTGTACATTAAGTTTAATCATGATAAATATATTATTAAAAGCTGTGATTAATTCATATGATGATTTCAAAATGACTCTTATGATAAATTTTTCTGTTATTTATTGATAATAATTTTTATAGCGATAAGCTTCGGATGTGTCAGTCAATGCAAAGTACCGGGAAATTGCAATTGTCTCCTGACACTGTGTATGACTTTACAAGTGAAGATCTTCAAGACCTGGGAGAAATTGGAAGAGGAGGTTTTGGTACTGTAAATAAAATGATTCATAGGATAAGCAATACTGTCATGGCTGTGAAGGTGAATGAATATATTACTCGTTAATAAAAAATAATTATGTTTTAATAGCTGATATATTTTTATAAATGTAATGATTAATTGCAGAGAATTCGATCTACAGTGGATGAAAAAGATCAAAATCAATTATTGATGGACTTGGAAGTAGTTATGAAGTCCAATGAATGTCCGTGCATCGTGCAATTTTATGGAGCTTTATTTAAAGAGGGCGACTGTTGGATTTGTATGGAATTAATGGACACCTCGTTAGATAAGTTTTATAAATTCATTTACGAGAGATTAAATAAGAGGATACCAGAATCCATTCTCGGCAAAATAACTGTAGCTACAGTTAAAGCTTTGAATTATCTTAAAGAAAAGTTAAAAATAATTCATCGTGATGTTAAACCAAGCAATATTTTATTGGATCGTCGAGGCAATATAAAGTTATGTGACTTTGGAATTTCTGGCCAGTTAGTAGATTCCATTGCTCGAACACGAGACGCTGGATGTAGGCCATATATGGCTGTAAGTTTTATTTACTTCTATTTTTATTTATATATTTTAATATTTATTTAAAAAATTTCAATTTATTATAGCCCGAGCGAATAGATCCACAGCGTGCTCGTGGTTATGATGTAAGAAGTGATGTTTGGTCACTTGGAATTACGTTGATGGAAGTTGCAACTGGTTATTTTCCATATCCAAAGTGGAATTCCGTGTTTGAGCAGCTTTATCAAGTAGTCCAAGGTGATCCTCCACGATTATCGCCCAATGGCAATGGCAATCATTTTACAATGGAATTTGTAAACTTTGTTAACACCTGGTGAGTATTTAAAAAATCTTCTTATTTCAATAAAACAAAATATGTAAATTGATTTAAAGCTTTGCAATTCAAATAAATTTATAATTTTTTATTATTTTTTAATTAGTTTAATCAAAGAAGAGAATCAACGGCCGAAATATAACAAACTTCTTGATCATCCATTTATAAGAAGATCAGAAGAAGCACAAATTGATGTGGCAGGTTATATTAGTGGTATTTTAGACAATATGGCAAATAATGGAGTATCGCCTTTCACAACTAATCAGCCTTAATGATAAAAAAAATAATTTGCAAGTAAAAAATGAAAAAATAATAACAAAAAAAACTCTTTTATTGAGTCTTTTGTTGCTGAAATTTTTTGAAAAATTTACTTGTAAAATCAAAGAGGTTATATAAAGGAAGAAAGTATGGGCTGAAATCATCTAGCATGCATAGGTTCCATTTGTTGTCGCGCTTAGAGACTGTACTGTCGTTGTGTTGTGTCCTTAATTAAAAAAAAAACCAATAAAAAAGAGGAAAAAAGCATAAAGATAAATAAGAATAATACAAATAAAAAAAAACCTCATATTTAGCGAGTAGGGGTGTCACCAGTTACGGTGGCCTTTTTTAGAAAATATCAAAACGAGCGGAAAATTGAGTCCATAGCATCCTTTACTCCCACAGCACTGTTGTGTATAATGTTAGTTCATTAATCAATTCTACCACTTAAATGTAATCAATAATTAAATGATTAAATCAGTATGCATAGATTTCATTGTTATTTAAACTAAAAATGATTATTTATTAATAATGATTATAAATAATAAAATACATCCATGCCGCTCGTTCTATCTTGTGACACACACTCGTTTCTGAATAAAATTATTTTACATTTTATAAAAAGGGTTAATTGTATATAACTCTAGCAATCATGTATAATTTTATTTTTTTGATGAAAATTCGAATTCCATTATTGTGGTAATTTTAATAGACAAGCTTATTACCGGCATTTAGATGAAACAAAAAATATTCTGTACTGTAAGAGAACAATAAACATCTGGATATTAATTCATTAAATAAAATATTGATACATTTATTCATTCATTTTATTTTTTTAAATAAATTTAGTTCACTTTTGATAATTTTTTTTGTCTATTTTTAGTCAATCTCAACTACTTTTTATCTTTACTCACGGCTAACGACCCTTTACATTTAGTTCAATATACGAGGGTCGAAAATCATACACCGTGACGACTGCCGTACAATCTGCGGGTCCAGGTGTATCTTTCATGCTATGTAACACCAAAATAATATAGAAAATTCATATAATGTGGATTTTACTTTTTTTTAATGATATTTTAAAGAATCAAAAATAATGGAATATATTTATGATTGAGTTAATTTATATTTGGTAGATAAAAAATAACTTAAAATTATTTATGAATCTTGAAATTTTCACAGCAAAAGTGAATGATACTCCGACCTGTCTCGACCTTCGCAGGTAAAAATATGGCGGACAATGTGAGGCGACCAGGGGTCTACGTTAGTATTAAAGGGGATGGTGGTAGCAGTAGACGTAAGCTCTTCTGCATTTTTCTATTCAATTTAATCGCTACTTTTTGAAAAAGATTCTAATCAATCATTGTCTAATTTATCAAATTATTTATTTACAGTGGCTAAAGAATATTTTAAAAAAAATTAAACAATAAAAAGTGTAAATTAATCATTAATAAAAACGGAGGTGAACTATATATAAATTGTTATTAAGTAGAGTGAGTACGATAAAAGCAAGACTGAAAATTTCAGTGATACATTGAAAAAAGAATAGTTGATAAAGTTGGTAAGTGAATATATATTTTTTGATCAATAAAAACTGTATATTTTTTGAAATAAAAAAAAAATAGTCAGTGAATTAAACTTGGAAAGTAAAGAAAATTCAATGGTTAAAAAATGTTGAAAAATGGAAAAAGTTTTCAATTCTTTCACTTCTAAAATTGCTTAATTGCGTGATAGATTGAGAATTTTATTTATAGAATTATGATAATAATTTTTCATTGTAAAATTTTATTGACATAGATAAATGGGAAAAGAAAGAATTGAAGACGAACGTACATTGATATACAAGAATACGAAATGTAAACTTCGTTTCAGTGATGCAGTAGTAAAGGTGCTGCTGCAGCGAACAGAATCAATTCTTTTGAATATTTTATTAGTTACTACACCCTCTTCTTGGGAACTATATTCAAACGCACTAAGGTTATATCAATTTTAGTGGCTATTTATTCGTTCAGGTTCACCATTCAAATACGTCCACATCATCTTCCAAGTTTGACCCAATAATAAATAATATTAATTTTTTTCTAAGTTTAACATTTGATCTTATTTCTTGGATATCCAGGTTGCTGATGTCAATTTCTTTATTTATATCCATCATAAGTCTATCAAGTCAGTGTTCTAGTTTATTTAATATGATTAAAAGTACTATAATGGACTACTTCTGATGATACGTTTATAATAGTTAGTATGATTTCATTTATTTGGCTAATTACATTTTAGATATTTGAATTTCAATTGAAAGAGTTTTCTTCATTTTTTTTTGTTCATTATTATCTAAAATGATCTTTAGTTTAATTTAATCTATTTTCTCTTTTTTTTATGTTATATTGAAACTAATAATTGTTTGACTTCTTTCCTATCATTATTTGTTGATTGCATAAATTGTGCAATCAAGGATAATCTCTTCTGACTATGCAATACAAAAAAATCATTATGAGTCATCATTTAAACCAACAGTTTGAAATTTTTTTAAATAAGTTTATTGTTAGAATTTTATTGATAAAACAATCTAGCTAATACATCATTAAAGAGGTGGTTGTAATGATGGACAATAATTATATTCAAACGATATTTTAAGCTGATGACATTCACGACTGCCCAAAGTATTCTCTACGATAAAAAATCAGTGATATGAAGATCAATATGTATATGTATATATTTGTAGAAGTTGATTAAATATTTTACGAACGATAATAAAATAAATAATATAGTTTTAGGAAAATATTTTTTCGTTAAGTCACTACTAGGTAATAGAATGTTTCGATGAAAAATAATCTTTACACTAAAAAAAAAGCCAATTTATTTAAAGTGTGAGAAATAATATTTGAAGGTTGACAGTCAAAAATTTTATCTATATCTGAGTAGTTGGAAAATTTTTTTGATAAAAATAATTGCTACTATTTCAACCATAGAAGTATAAACACCTGTATATGGTGATAGTCTATTGGGGGGCTAACGACGTTCATAATGGGCCACCGGGTGCAGGTTGACACACTGGTAGGGTGGCATTGGCCAAGTCGTAGTTGTACAGTGAGTCACAACCTGACGTTATATCGAGTTGGCGGCAGGGAAAATAAAGTGGTAAAAGCAAATGGCAGGTGGTGGTCCGTTTCTAGTTGGTGATACTGCTGGTGCTGCTGTTCGACAGCACACTATCACACGTAATAGAGCTAAGGGGGGTCGATGGCCAAAAGAGGCAAGGGACGGATGTTCCCAGGAGATTATTGATCGCTAGCAGATACTTCCACTTGACTGGGGAAAAGAAAAAGGACAAACTTGCTACCATCGTTTTTAGTTGTTTTTTCTTTTTCTCACATGTAAATCGATTGTTCATAATTATTTAATTCCTCATAATTTTTATCCACCCCCAATATAGATAATGATCCAAGTCTACTTAATCGACTGCTTTGTTAAAAGTAGTTTTTGAAGTAAATTAGAGACTTGGACAAGATTGTAATAATTTCATCAACTTTCTATGTATGAAAAAATAAAAAGTCAGGATAATTGAAGATAAAAAAAAACATTCAACAATTTTTGTATTTATGAGTTTGATATCCATTGACCACATGGATGTGGCTAGTAACCTTGGGGTTTCGATTCTCTAGCAAAGTCGACCAATGATAGGGAAGCACGGAGGATCTAAAACGCTGATTCGTGTCCTGAGTTTCAGTGGACGGAGCTTCCCTCCTCCAAGATATCATTATAGGCGGTCGTTGGTTTTTTGATACGATCAATGGAAATGTTGGAGATGTCGACGACATTATGGAGGTTTATTTTATTAAAGCAATGGAGCCAATATCTTGAATGTAAATTAAGTCCATCTGTTTCAGCTATCATTCTTTCCACTAATTTTCTTCAACTTCAAAATAACTGTCATTTATTTAATGTTGTATGACACGTGTTTGACGTGGTGCATTTTTAAATAGCTGATGAGCACGTGGCACAAGACGTACCGCAACTTCCGGCTTTTTTTATAATATTAAATAGAAAGAAACACCTGGACTTATTATTATTATTATTGCCCATCAAGGATCTATCAAAGGGAGTCACTCAAGCATAAATTCCATTTAAATTTTTGCAAGCAACGAATTTTCTTCATATCTTATTCTATTTAATTGTCCCGACGATAGTTGGAGGTATAAGAATAATAAATATATTATGAATTGACCCAGTGACGCACTGGAATTCCAATCGTTGAAACTCATCGCTAACCAAGAATCGATTCTCAAAGTTGGTATAACACGCGAGCTTTAATGTATGCCATGTCTCTCACGAATGTCCATCGTAAGATAATCATAAAAATTGTAATCGCCAATATTTATCTAAAAAATAAATTTAAAAAAGGCAATAAAGCGATAAAAAAAAAAATTTGTAAAAAATGAAGAAGCAGAAAAGTACCGTATATCAATAAACAGTTGGATTGTTATACACAAATGTAAATTACTGAAAGGGTCTATTGAGCCGGGTGTACGGCATACGGTCCACCTGTGAAGGAAACCATCACCTGTCGACAGAGGTGGTACGCGTGCCAACCATCAGGAGCCGCTGCGGGTGGCTATGTAGCTTTTATGTATATATGTATATATCACTGAACTTCACTCTGATGTGCAGGGTGTAATGTCGGCTTAAAGTTCGTTCTTACTACTAGCGATCAGTAGTAGACACCCTCTTGCGCTTCAGTCGACGTTTAGACATCATAAAGATCACAAGAATTTCAATTCATTTTATATATCTACATCAATAAATGGAAAATAACGTGATATATTTATTGTTTTAATGTTATTTAAAAATATTCAAGCATATAAAAAAAAATATTTACTGTGTTGTTTTATTAAATTTATATCAATTGAAAGATTTTACGTTGTAAGTTTGATTAGACGTTTGTTCTCGTAAAAGAAATAAATTTTTTAACTATTTGTTGCAAGTGAAATTTTCAAAGCAATTTAATCAAGATTTAAATCTATTTTGGAGTAATTAATTGATAGGTTAGTTTGTAAAATATAATGATTTTCTAAAGATAATTTTTTGTCTTTAGTTGATCGAGTATAATTAAACGGGTTATGAAAGACCAGAAATCATGAAAGCAGAGACGAGCTTCGCTGAAAGATTAGCAGATCATGGCTCGACATTGTCGACAACCAATAATGTTGTTGAAAATACAGGAACAGATGATTTCGGAGTGGAAGCTGAATTAACTAGTCTATCTTGGTTACAATCATTGGATATCACAAGTGCATCAAGTTTACCTACCCCGCCATGTTCACCATCTCCACCCCCAGTTGTACGACGCCCGCCCAAGAAGATGTCTCCTCTTCTTAAAGCTGAACTTGGTAAGATTATAAATAATAAATATAATTAATAAGATGAATAATTGTTTTATTTGGTGATACAGAATTGACAGAAAATGCAGAAAAATATCAAACAGATGCAGACACAAAGCCTCCTTTTTCATATGCTACATTAATATGTCTTGCAATGCGTGCAAATAACAATAAACTCACTTTATCTAGCATTTATGCTTGGATTCGAGAAAATTTTATCTATTATCGGCTTGCAGATCCAGCTTGGCAGGTAATTTATTATTCAAATCAAATATTTTTTGTATAAAAAATAATTTCATTGATAACCAGTGATGTATTTATTGTTAATTTTAATGATCTATCATTGGTTTTAGAACTCCATTAGACACAATCTTTCACTCAATAAATGCTTTGTCAAATTACCACGTTCAAAAGATGAACCAGGAAAAGGAGGTTTTTGGAAATTGGATTTGGAAAGGCTAGAAGAAGGAAAACGTACGAGAAGACGTACATCAGCATCTTTACGTAACGTAAACAAAGCAACAGCTGTATCTCATAATGCAGCACTTAAAAAAGTCACCCCTGTACTTTATGAGACTCCTCCAAGTAGTGTGTCTCCACCAATTCCTGATAGTTTACCTGAAGTGCCTGAATCTACCCATTTTAGTCTTGCTGAAGATGATTTCAATGGTCTTTTGACTAACACTGATGGATGGGATGATAATACACTCGAAAATTTATCTTTTTTAAATCAACTTGATTCTTTACTAAACTCTTTTTAAATGTTATCAAGGGAAATAATGAAGAATGACTTTTCCGAAAAAAATGGCAAAGTTTTTGAATTTATTTGGAAGTTAGAGTGCATAAAAAATTTTAATGATTAAAAAAAGAGAAAACAGAGACACGAAAGTATAGTAATTTTCATCCGTTAGTTTATAATCAGAATAATATAAATTGGATATGTCATCAATCAATAAATGTAATCATGTGCCTTGGAGTTAGAGTGACCATTAACTAATAAGTATGATTATTTGTATATTTACTTTTATTTTATTGCTATGGAATAATATACAATTGTAAATATTTGCCATTCGTCTCTTTTAGTCTTGAGAGAAGCTATTGAGCAATTTGATCAAAATACAGTAATTAAAAATTCAAAATTAATCATTCTTGAGACGTATATGGAAATAACAAACTTTATTCTTTATATTGTAAATTAATATATACATTATTTATCATAGTAATACCACAATGATTAACGTCAGTGATATAATTTATTTTGGGTGTGTGTTTTACGCTCTAATTGCAAAAAGATGCCTTTAAATCATCCGTCCAATAACAAAACGTAGAAATATTTATTTATTTTTTACTTTTTAAGGAAGTATTTTATAATTATGGATTAAACAGAATGAAAGATTATGTAAACTGTAAACCATATTAATTTTAGGTGGTTAACAGTCAAAAAAATGCGAAGTATTGATAAATAAGTATAGATTAATATGATGAAATATTCCATAAATTTAATCACATAATCTTGTATTATAAAATAGAATTAATGGATTTGTATTGGTAGTGAAATCACTCAACAATAAAAGCATCTAATATTATGTGTATATTTTGTTTTTTATCTTAAATATGCAATCATTATAATTTTTGTTTTTAATTAATATTAAAATTAATATTAATAATAAAATTATTTTAACGTAAATAATTCAAATCCACTTGTGAAATATTCTGTTTTGTTGATACTCGATATTATACCGATATCGAAGTCGGTTCGAGTAGAAACCAGAGAGACCAATAGTCGATATCTCGATTAGTCGTTATTTTTTGTCGATATGTTTCATACACACAATAAATTGTTTTTCTCAATTTTTTTCATAAAAACAATAAATTCAATCATTTTTTATGTTTTTTAAATATGAAATTAGTGTATCATTAATATTTATTTATTAGATTTATTTAATAAATTATTACTGTAATAAAAAATGCTTACATGAATAATAGGTGATTATTGAACAAGTTTATTTTGACAGCTGCCTAGACATCTACAAATTTTATTTATAGGTTATAAAAGATATAATTGTTGTAATGAATTGTAATATATTATTGAAAATATTATAAAAAGTACGATATATTGTATTAATAACAAATATATATTGGATTAAATATTGTGCAAAATGAATACCAAGCAACAAGTGATTGATAAATTTAACGAGATATTGGGTACAGACCTGAAAAATCTGGGTAAAATGCAAGAATTCCATGATCAACTGCTGTTAGAAAAACATCAGATAGAAGAATCGGTAATTTTTAATCTTTAATTAGTAAATAATTATTTTTTAAACTTTCTTTCTTAAATGTTATTGTTTTTAATTTCATCTTATAATTTTACACTTATAGTTAACATTAGCATCAACAGATGCACCTTCAAAAATAAAGGCTGCGGTATCAAATGTGGAAATGATGAAAGATAATATTGAAGAATCCATAGAAGCAGCTCAAGAATTACAACAAGCAATTAAGGAAGTTTTAGAGAAAGATAATAGAACATCTGCATTTGAGAATGTTATTAATGAAATTGAAAATCTTGAAAAAAGTTTAGGATATTTACAATTTCTACAATCTATTGAGAGTATAAGGTAATGATTAGAAATATAATAGCTATAACTTTTCAAATAGATGACCATTAACAATATTTAATTATCTCTTAGTGATGAAATTGAAAATGCTATGAATTCTGGAAATGAAGAATCATCTATGATCAGTCTTTTTACAAACTTGGTTGAAATTAATTGTCAATTAGAAACATCTTCTTGTCATCATTTAATCAATTATGTTAAAGAAACTGTTCATTTCTGGCATAATCATTTAAAAGAAAAATTTTCAAAGTAAATATTATTCTAATTTTTTATCATAAGTGGTTTTTTACACTATGTCATTTTTACTTATATTTTTTAGAGAGTACATGGATGTTTTGAAAACAATAAAATGGCCTTTTTGTCGTACCAACCATAATACTTCAACAACACCAACACCTGAATCAATGAAACGATTTAAAATTTTAACTGAATATTTACTTCAACTACAAATACCGTATCCTTTGATAATTATGTGATATCATTAAAGTGATTTATTTATTTAATTTTATATATGTCTTTAATAAAAAAAGTAGACAAGAAACTGTGACATCATCTGTAAAGTCTAGTCTCCTGACAGATTTTCCACCAGTTTGTCTACCAATTTCTCTTTTAGTACGTCCATTACGACAACGATTTATATATCATTTTACTGGTAATAAACAAACGAATCGACGAGATAAGCCTGAATGGTTTTTCACACAAATTCTAACTTGGATAAAAGATCATGAACAATGGATAGAAAAGAATGTTCAGCCAGTTATAAATCTTACTGAATTTTCATACATTAATGCAAGGGTACAGTAAAATAAATTGTAATTTAAAAAGGAAAATTTATTATTTTATCGATGAATAATTTAAATCTATAATGATATTTCTAAAACAGGTTGAATTCATGAGAGCATTAGTTCAATTAGCTGTAGAAAAATTGCATTCAGAATTACCAATTATTCAGTATGACGACGATCAATTTGCTCATCTTGTAGATGAAGCCTTGGGATTTGAACGAGAACTCAGAGAATCTCTTTTATATCCATCAAATCAACCTGCAGTTATTGTAGTTTTGACTCAAGCCCAGACCTTTGTCAAGTGGATTAATATGGAAAAGAAATGTAAGTTTCTATAATATATATATAAATTTTAAATCTAATTATTATTAATTATTCATTATTTGTTATTTATACATAATATTTCATTAGATGCCACTGAAAAAATGGATTCAATTTTAAGTGCGCCCACAGCGTGGGAACGCGTGATTATATCTAAACTAGATGATTTAAAAGTAACCGAGTCTGCTGATGCTTTTTTAACGTTATTATCAACGATTACTGATCGATATAATCATTTACCTCAACCAGGACACAGGTAAAATAAAACTAAAAATTTTTTGCTATTTTATAAACAAAAAAGCTGTTTTTTTCCATAAAAAATTAATTCATATTTTTCTAAATATAGATTACAGTTTTTGGAACTTCAATTAGAATTAATTGATGATTATAGAGTACGATTACTTCAATTACTTCATCAGGATTGTGAAGATCCTCTTCGATCATCTATTCCTCGGATACTCAATTCTGTGTATTACGTTTCTAGTGTTTTAATGGAATGGGGTGTTACAGTTGTAAGTTGACATAAACCAACTATTCTATAATTAATCAACTGTATAATCCATTAATTAATCATAAGAAATTTTATACATGTCTTATTTTTTAGCATTTTTTACAACTTCATTATTTTAAAAAACAATGCGAAGCTGCTGAAAAAGCAACAGATTTGGGTTCAGAAATTACTGAAAATTTAACTGAAGAAAGTGGAACTGTGTTTGATGATGCAGTAGCTTTATTGAAAAGAATGGAAAAAGAATTACTTGAAGAATTAAGTAATTCAGTTGCTTTGGAAGTCAAGGCTAAAAGTAGACCATATAGAACGGATAAATGGTTTGCAATGCAAAATGAAAATGATGTTATATCTTTATCAGTGACACCGAGTGGTTGTGTTATGTTTGAAGAACTTGCTTTACGTCTTCATACTCTCCATGATGCATTATCTTTACCTCTATTTAATACAGCTTGGCGACTTGTAGCTTCTCAACTAGATCAATATCTTTTTGAAGGAGTTGTTCTTGACAATCAGTTCAATGCTGGTGGTGCAGCTCAATTAAAATACGATATAACAAGAAATTTATTCCCATTATTTGGACTTTACACTAAAAAACCTGAATCTTATTTTCCTTTGTAAGTATTTTTAGTATTTATCTTATTAAAGTTCTTACTATATTATTAACATAAAATTATTTTTAATCATTTTAGATTAAGAGAATCTTGTATATTGTTAAATATGTTATTGGGTTCGGTAATGTTACTCATGGAAGTACTACAGAAAGATTCAGAAGAAACATCTAAAGTAACTTTAGCAGATGTAGGAGTGTTTACGTTATCTCCATCATTAGCTACTATGGTTTTAAAAGCTAGAACTGATGTGATAATGCAATAATAAATATTAAAAAAATAATAAACTTACTGATGAAATTTAAATAATTTATTATAATAAAAAGAGAATATCTAAATTTATAATTCCGTTAAAAATTTATTACTACAATTTTTTCGATGTAATAAATTTATATTCAAATTAACAGATCAATGTAATTCCTCCATTGTCAGCTCCAAGCAACAACAATCGATTTAATGGTAAAACAGTCATGGCTGTTAAAATTCCTTTAAAAACATCAGATTTTAATTTTGATGATGAAAAACTTGCGGTTGCTTCAATCGAGGTATGAACTCCAATTCTATTGACGGTCGTTCCAGTTATCAATTGGTGCTCGTAGAGATCCATACAATGAACTGGTTCTGTTGTGCCTTTTAAATGAAACTTTAATTTACCATCAATAGCGCTCCAAACTGCTATTGTTAAATCTAAAGATGAACTAACAATTGTTGTTTCATTTACTGCTTCTAATTGAAGAATTTCACATTCATGTCCTTTCCAAGAAGCAATAATTAATCCTGTTCTGATGTCTAATATGGTGAGAACTCCAGAAACTTGACCTAATGCTACCCAATGTCCACTTGGAGCTATGGCAATGCATCTAATTAGTCCAGTAGGATTCATAGCTACTTTTAATTCATTGACATATTGAAAAGTACGGCAATCTATCATGTGGAGATTCAAATCAGTTGTTGCAGCTAAGAGTATTGTTGAAGGAGTTGTGTTTGCGGCTATAGTATTGACTGGAACAGCTTTAGAGTTTTCTGGACAGCCTAAAAGAGATCCCATGAAAGGATCCCAACAATGAACACTTCCATCACAGGTAACAGCATAACGTAATGATTCTAGAAAAGTCAATGCTAGGATTGACTTTTTATGACCAGTATAAGTATATTGACATGAAGAAACAGCATTACCATCGCCTTGGCTACGTATACTCCAAAGTTTTACGGTTTTATCTCTTGCTCCACTCATAAAACTATTTTCATTGTCTAACACATGTAAACAACGTACGTTTTTAGTATGTCCTGTGAAACTTTGGAGCTTTATTTGTTTCATATTGAAAGTTAAATGCTTGTCTGGTCTTCCTATCTCATGTTCCCAATATGCCAACCAGTTTCCTCGTAGCTGCCGACTATTGGAAAAGCTTACATCTTTGTTTTGATGATTTACATATTCTCCTAAATTATCTCCTACTTCAATTCTATTACCGACTACTGAAATATTACCAAAACTTCCTATTTCTTTGGTCACTATGTTATTAATCGGTTTTTCAGTAATTTCTAAAGAAATTGGATCAGATTTACTCGAACACACACCACTAAGTTGCAAAGTTTTTTCATACTCAACACATAAGTCTCTAATGAGTTGATGATTCTTCAACATATCCTCCATCATACCTTCATCGACATGTCGGTAAAACAAAAGATAAGATTTATGTGCAAATTCAGCAGTAAATACAGCTTTGAGTTCTTCAAATGCCTGATTTCTTTGAGGATTTGACGTATCATTGTCTAGAATTGGCGGTGAGTAAGAGACAACTATGTCAGATCCAATTTCTTCACGATTTTTACCGCAAGTTGAAGATAATTGTGTCCAATCTTGAAATTCTCTTTGATAAATTTCATCACCAGAGTTATCATTAGTCTTTTTAGGGAGATCTATTTTGTCTTTCGTCATTTTTTTGTTATTTTCTTCTTCTTGATTTTGGCTTTGAGAACTAGTTGCTTTATCAAAAGCTAAGAAAAATCTTTGAATTGGTACAGATAAATGACTTTTAGTTATTGAACTTCCTAGGCGAATACTTAAACTCGATAAAACTTCGAGATATTTATTAGCTAAAGCTGATCTAGCAATGGTCCCATTGGGAAATAAATATCGTGTAGTAGATAAGATTCTTACTGTTGGATATAAAATAGACTTGACAATTGTTTCATTGAGTGCATCCATCAAAGAAGCATCAGAAAGACATGGAGTAACGTAAGATAATAAAGCCAAACAAGAAATTAACCCTCCTTCTAAATTAGGTGTTAATTTACGCTTACACAAAGCTAAAAGCTCTGCCATATGTCCAAAATATTGTAAAACAATCATTTGTTCTCCGTATAAACTGGCAATTGCGGTTAAAGATTCCAAAACCTTAGCAGCATTGATATCACCAATTAATTGCGTTTTTCTCCAGTGTAATTCTTCTGAATAAATATCTTCGTCGACTAAAAGTAAATTATTACTGCCAGTATAACAAAGAGTTAACATTCTGAGCAAATTTCTTGATAAATAACGAGCTGTAAGAACGGGGCCCAAACGATGAGATAACCAGATCACAGATTCAGTACTTATTTCGGATACTTTAGATTCCCTATGCACTGATAAATGTTGGGATTCATCAATTTTTTTTAGTTCATCAAGATCATCATCAGAAGATTCTGAAATGTCAATTTTATACATTAATTTCGACTTGTCTTGCTCAAAGAAATGTAATCCTTCTTTATTATCACCAGTAACATTAAGTCCTTGAATGACTCCGTGAGAGCCTGATAAGGGAATGTCCTCACTAGATGTTTTACTTCCCACATGACATCCAATAGTATTAAAATCCGCAACTAATTTTGTGCCACGCGAATCTGATTTCGGGATTGGAATTGTTGGTGATTTTACTGCTCCTGGAGATGAACTTTTTCTTCCTTCATCAGCTAAATCATCGATTATTGTTAAGTTAAGTACCATTTCAGGATCTCTAGTCATTTTATTTTCAGAAGGTGATGATATTTCTTCAGTTTCCATTGAAAACACTTCTTCATCATCATTTTCTAATGTCGGAGTATTTCTTGAAGTTTCTAAATCACCTGACAAAATTATTGAAGTAATAATTTGTTCAGAATCCACTGAAGAATCTTCATCTAGTGGTGATAATATTATTTCTTCGTCTCCGCTACCACATAGGTCACAAGTTTTTAGATTCCCTGTTCTTTGAGAATTTATATTTAACAAATTTGGAGGGTAATCCTGATAACATCCTACTGCTTCTACAAGTGGCGTAATAAAATTTTCTAAAAATCTTCTTAATCCGAGACGAACCATAAGCTTTAAAAGAAAACTTCTGTGATAAAGTCTCATTGTTCGAAACTTTGCAAGAATATTTGGAGATAAATAGTCTCTATAAATCGTACTATCAATTATTGATCCATGTTCATAAAGCTTTAAGATAGAATTAAGAAAGTTTTCTGATGTTTCTTTAGGACCAAGCGCTCTTGCTATTGGATCGAATAAATACCAAGCAGCTAATACTGCACTATAAGGTTCATTCATGATTTGTTTTACATGTGGAACTATTAATTGAATACTTGATTCTAGTAAATTACCTGCATAAGTTATAATTCGTTCTAATTCTCTTGCTAAAGCTTTAACCTTGCACTCACTAATTTTACATAAAAATTGAACTTTAGTCGTCATATCTTCTGGATCATTTTCTGATTGTTTTATTACGTAATTTAATTCTCTGACGAGATTATTATATTCTTGAAGCATCTGAACGATGCAAAATAAATACTGAAAGTGTTTAGATGATGGAAAAAGACTACTAGATAAAATTGGCTGCAAAAATTGATGTGCTGAAGGTGGTGGTAAACCCATATATGTCACAGTAGGATAACGGAATGGACTTTCTACAGATTTATCTGAAATGTCCATGACAATTCCGTACGTCTTTGGAATAATATCCACTTGTAAAAGGAGAATCACTGCATTTCTTATGCATTTTGGTAATATTTCTGGAGATTTTAGTAATACATTAGTACAAACTTCAAGTCTTGAGTTAAAAGAAATTTTTCCAATATTCCAAGTAGCTCGAAATTTATTTGGAAGGAAAATTTCTACAATAAGACAACCGAGAATTCGTTGCTCTTTAATTCTAGCGCATGCTACTACTTGTCGGTAACTAGTGAGTTCATCTCGAATTGAAGTTTCAAGTTGATAGGCATGGTAAGAGAGCTTATTCATAAAGGAATGTGTTGTTTCTACTTGAATCAATGCCGATGTTGGGTTATAATCTTTAGGAAGTTGAATAGTTTGATTCATTAATTTTTCTCCTCGAGAATTTTCATCAGTTGCTAGTAGAGAGCCACGAGACCGACTAAGAAGACGACTAAGAGCGAGAGGAGATGATCGCGTTACGTTCAAAGTCGTCACTGGAGATTCTATTTCCTCAAAACCTGAACTATGTCCTTCGTCATCGCTAATTTTTTCTGAAGACTTATCCGATTCTTTAAAAAAAGAAATGCAATAAATTATTACTTCAAATCTAACTCAATAAACTAATTATCTGAGTACTTACTTGTTGGTGTTTTTGGAGTTACAGTACGTAAACGTGGTGCAGTTTTGCTCCAATATGGTGAAGGGACAATTTTCTGTGGATGTGGTTGAGTAAAAAGCTGTACAACACCAGAATTTGTTAACCTTGTGTGATTATCCACCAATTGTAGACAAACATTTTTGGATTTAATAGCTGCTACTCCGGATAATCTGCATCAAATAGAAAATGAAAGAAATATTACGATTGAAACATTTTTTTTCGCGAGTTTGGTAGGTCTTTCGAAAGGTACTTCTTAATCTGGGTCTCGGCCAGGTAATCCCTAACCATAGTCGCGTGGTAAAAGATCGCTGTCGTACTTGTAGCCAAATGTTAAGTCTATCCAATGGTGAAGTCTTTCAGAGACGTAGAGACTTTCCAGTGCCTCGCGATGTTTTTCAATGAAATCTTCTGGAGACCGCGCCCAACTTGGTATTTCCAGATCAGGAAGGTCCTCGTGAATTGACTAAAAATAAAAATTGTAGATAAAAAATTACTTACGAAAAGATATTTAAAGATATTTTTTTGATGCATACTTTGAAAACATTTGGATCAGTAAAAAATTGAGGAATGCATTCATCTGGGCTCCATTCCTGTAACCTTTGAATAGAAGCAGGATACTCTCCAGGCACCCAATGCGACCTTACATGTTTACACAGAACTGATTTTGTATACCGTCTTGATAAATAAACATAATATGTAATTTCCGAAAGAACATCCGACACATGATGGCTTACCTAAAAACAGTTATTCATTACTATTTAATATAATACCGATTTAATAACCATAAAAAAATTCAACTTACTTCAGAAGTTTCAGAATCAAATGTAAGGTCAAGTTGTCTATCACCTTTATTTAAACGAAATTTAGATTTGGTAAGGTCTCGCCAATTTTTTCCTGATCTCGATGTAAAATCTGTTACCCAAGGCATAACATGATGACAACTTGGATCACCATATCGTCGACCAGCTAAATTGTTAAGAACTGTTAAGTAATCAAAATTACTTAAATGACCATGAATCCACATCTCACAAAGGCGTTGAATGTTTTCATTTAAACCAAAATTTGTATCTTTCGTGGCCATTTTCGAAGAAATACATGGTTTAATTCTATTATTCAATGTCTTATCCTCTAGAGAGCTGAGTTGATTATTATGAGTGTCAAGTTTCATATAAATATTATCATCTAATTTTGGTAATACCTTGAGAAAGAAAAAATTTTATATGTGGATTGATGTTATATGATAAAAAATAGTTTTGATATTTACTTGAATAGTATAGTTATCCATTAATAAAATATCACTCAAAGTGATTTCTCCTAAAGCTAATCCAGAGTCATGGAGCTCTCTGGATAAATGTAGAAGTTGATATACGAGAAATAAAGCTTTACTATAACTTGTTGACAATGCAGCAGGACTATACATTACACATCTAAAAATTTATATATTTACAGTTGTTGCAAATATAATAGCAACTTTAGTTTCACTTACTCTTGAAGAGAATATGCACTTGTTTGTTCATGGAAAATCATAAACGCAGATGAAGTCTCAACAGCAAACATTGCAGGCAGAAGATTGCAGTGTGTTTGATTGTTAAGAGGCGGAGAAGTAGAAATAACTCGATTATTTTCAATATGAATTAACGAACAGCCGTATAATCTCGATAATACTTCATGCATCACAGCAACGTCATTACTATTTGGTGTTAATAATGATTGTTCCTTCAATTCAGATAAATTCCATGCACCTAAATAATTTTATGCCAAACTGGTATGAAAATTTTTTATACCTTTATTTAAAAAATTTATTATAATAGTTGATGATACTTACTATAATATTTTTTATAAGCTTCTTTCCATAAATTCCTATAATTAGTTTCAGATACGTAACGAAGTAATTGACTAAACGTCAGATCTGGCTGTACCTTTGGGCTGGTGGAATGTTTATCTCGAGGAAGTGGAATGGCTTTGCTAAATCGTTTTACATAAACCTATCAAATACACGAATAGTTATTATATAATGTATTATTTATATTAGAAGTTATTCAATGTCAAAAATTTGTAATAAATTACTTTTATATAAACTCTCGTCCAATTTGGTCCTAATTCATTGAGAGATGGTTGTGCTGCGATTTCATCCACAGAAAGGCGATCATGAGTAAAAAATTGAATAGAACCAGCATTTTGTATATTAAATAGCCAATTTTTATGAACTGTTGCACAAATTCTTCCATCAATAAATTGCATATACTTGATAGGCAGATTTAATTCTTTATTAAGAATATCCATTTTCAAAATAATTTATTATTTTTATCACATTCACGATTATTGTAGGAATGATATGACAGAATAATTAAAAATAAAGACGATATACATTTTCACGACTAGATAAATGACAGATACTTAAATAGCTTTTCTATACAACTGTTACAATTACTCCAAGTAAATATTTAAAAACAGTAATTGACCTTTTTTTTATACATTATCCAAGAAAAAACAATTTATTATCGTATAAAATTGTTGATAAAAAAAGAAATAATTATTTAATTGTTAAAAAGTTTTAACAAGTGTTTTCAAGGTAATTTTTGACAGTTTGTTCTGTATATGTATTTCACTTTTCTTTTCTCTTATACCAGAGAGAAGCTTCTCTGTTTGTATATATGTATGTATGTATGTATGTATATATGTACATACATACATACTATAGTGGAGAAGAAAGGAAGTAAATAATTTCATAGAGAGCGCTAGTATTGCCTATAAAAAGGTGGAAAATTTCGAATCCACCGTAAAAACAGTTACTTTGAACGAAGGTTTATAATGTTATTTAAGTAATTATTTAATCAATCTTGTAATTAATATTAGAAAAAATATTCATAGAATTTTCTTTATTGTTGAAAAATTATATTTAAAATTTATCATAATATATTCACAATACGATCAACCGTGACGACGTACAATTTTTCTCTTATTATTATTACTCCAAAATTTAACTTGCTAGGTAATTTGAATTATAATAATTAGGATAATTTGTGATTAAAAAATGTATAGATTAAATTAAATAGAATTAATACAAGTAAAATAATAAATAAAAACAAGACAAATGTTTTTAAAATTCAGCCATTTTGTCATACAGAAAATAGATACAGAAGTGTTGTGCATTGTACTTTTGTAAAATTAGACACAAGCTAATACAGTGTTAACCTCTATGAGACTCGTTAACCAAATTCATACATAAATATATAAATTGGATTTGATATTTTTTATTATTTAAATAACGTGTAAGAGTTTCTAGAAAGTATTAATATATAATTCCAACGTCATCAAAAAAAAAAATGCTGGTAACTTGAAAGTACATTTTTCATTACTATTTTCTTAACCTTTTAAGAGATATTAGTATAGGACAGTTATGTCACAATGATAATTAACTAGTTTTCAATAAAAAATATGCGTTAACTACACAAAAAAATATATATCTAGCAAGCTTATGATGTTTATAAAGATGACTATTTCATTTTAAATATTTTTCCTGAGCTTGTTTTATCATTTATTGAACTAAAATATCTTGGAGTACATGAAAATACAGATAATTTATTATTTATAAAAAGAATTTCATTGATCATTAAAATGCTGAATTTGTCAATGAATAATTTAATTAACATTAATTCAGGTAAGAATTCTCTTTTTTAAATATTCTCTAACACTTTATACAAATATAATTTATTTCTTATTTAATAATGATTATATTTATTTAACACTTTAATAGTAACGATCATTTATTAATTATCTTTATGATTAAAATTTTTATAATAATTATCTATTCATAAGGTCAATAATATCATTGATGATTACAAGAACAGATAAGTAAACTGATTACATTAAATTCATCATTATTAGATTGTATAAAAATAAAAAACTACATATATTAATAAATATGGAGAAGTTTAATTTTTGTAGAAAAATTATGAATTTTTTTCAACATTTTATTACATTTCATGATGTAAGATTTTATTAACTTATCGTTATTATTAATTTTAGATTGTAAAGTAATAAAAGGAATGATTGTTTTTATAATTCTAAAGATAATTGTTTGTTAAAAACATTGTTTTTACATAGACATTCAATCACTTACGTTAGGCTCATGTAATATCCGCTGAATTCTCATGAATAATTAAACAATAACCTTTGACACACATATTTATGCTCGAACTCCGAACATAAGGCTCTAGAAAGAAACAACTATAAATTTTAAAAAATATATACGTAGTATTGATGTTTAATTAAAACATTATTTTATTAATTCTTTGTTGCAGAAGGAATATTGGTGGGAGATGTTTCGAAGTGTCAAGTAAATAATGAGTCCTCACACGTGTAATAATTGTTTACATACAATTATGGCATCAAATGGATATTCAACAACTACCAACAAGCAAAATAATGGCTTGGATGTGCCACCCTGTGAGTCTGTGAATTGTATGTGTGTTTAGATCAGTTTGTTTTTATTATTTTTACGTAAATAAATTCAAATTAAACTTTTATTAATTAGTTTAGTAGTATTTTAAAATAAATTATAAAAATTTCTAAATGCATGCGATAGTTTTCTGAGTTATAAATAAAAACAATTTTGAATCCACGTAACTTAAAAAATAACATGTTTATTGTAATAATAAAGCACAGTGAAAATACAAAGTATACAATATGTAATCAATATTGTGTTTTATAGCAATGCCCTGGTTTGGAATGGATATTGGTGGAACTTTATGTAAATTGGTTTATTTTGAACCAAAAGACATAACGAAAGCCGAAGCAGATGCAGAAGTAGAGGCTTTGAAGAATATACGGAGGTATTTAACTAAAAATTCCGCTTATGGAAAAACTGGTCATCGAGATACTCACCTTCAGGTTATTTTTAATCTAATAATATTCTTCTTGAGTAAGATGTTACAGTTATTATCTATCTTTTTTTTTTTTTACTAAATTTATTTGATAGTTTTTTTATAATTATATTAATAGTTGTATTAAGTTTATTTAGAAATGCATTAGATAAATTTATTGTAGATGGATAATGTTAAAATTCGTGGTCGAGAAGGAACTCTTCATTTTATCAGATTTCCAACAAGTAAGATGAGTAACTTCTTAGCTCTTGCTAAATCAAAAGGAATGGCGAATGTGGTGACGACAGTTTGTGCTACTGGAGGTGGAGCTTTTATGTTTGAGGAAAATTTTAAAAAAGAAGTTAACATGAATCTCGCTAAATTTGATGAACTCTATAGCCTTATTTGTGGAATGATGTTTATAGAAACAACAAATCCTCATGAGTGCTATTATTGGGCTGATCCAACAGATGATGATCTTTGCCGTAAGGTTCCTTATGATTTTTCAGAACCATATCCATTTTTGGTAATTGCATCAGCTTTTATTTATTACCCTAAAGTCATTTTATCTAGAATTTTATTAAACTTATATTTATTTTAGTTAGTAAATATTGGATCTGGAGTAAGTATTCTTTCTGTTCATGGCCCAGATAATTTTAAAAGAATATCAGGAACGAGGTAAGAAAAAAAATTGTTAATGGAAATGTTTTTAAATTGAAAACTTAACGGTAAAATATATATACATATTATTATAGTTTAGGTGGAGGAACGTTTTTGGGATTGTGTTGCCTTCTAACTGGTTGTAACAGCTTTGAAGAAGCTATTGAGCTTGCTACAGGAGGTGATAACACAAAAGTTGATAAATTGGTAAAAGATATTTATGGTGGCGATTATGGTCCTTTTAGTCTTCCAGGAGATCTTGTTGCAAGCAGGTAATCTTTTATATACATATAAATATTATGCAATGTTTGCATGAATACACTGGCCTAATAGTGAACCTTTTAACGCAAAAGAGTGTACTTATAACTGTTTAGTTTTAACATGATTTTTCTATTATAATTTATATAAAGAAATTATACGGAAATGTGTAGATGAAAAATACAAAGAGAATTATTTTCAATGGGTGACACAAGTACAATAAGAGTTTTTGAGTAGGTCTATTGAGAATTTGTTTTATTGTAGTGTATTCTCGACTAACTTTCTTGTAGATAATTTTTTATAGTCCCTTTCCTGTCTAACAATCAACGTGTATGTTAAGTTATCTCCGATTGTGCAGTTTTGGACAGATGAACTTGAAAGATCGCAGAAATGCTGTCACGAAAGAGGACCTAGCTCGAGCTACTCTTGTTACGATTACTAACAATATTGGATCAATCGCCCGGATGTGTGCGGTTAATGAAAAAATCGAACGAGTATGTATTAATTAATATACAATAAATTTAAATAAGTGTATAGTAATTCTTATCGTGAAATTAAATTAATAATTTATTATCTTATTTCAGGTAGTCTTTGTTGGTAATTTCTTAAGAGTTAACCCGATATCTATGAAATTGTTGGCGTATGCTATGGATTATTGGTCCAAAGGAACTTTAAAAGCTTTATTCTTAGAACATGAAGTAAGTCATAATCATTTTTACAAATAAAGAAAATCAATAAATTTAACTGATAACAAATATCTGTTTTTAGGGATATTTTGGAGCAGTTGGTTGTCTTCTTCAATTTAATGGTGAAATAAATTAAAAAATTTATTTTCTAGAGGAAATTTTTATCATTCCAATTAAGTTATTAATCATGTAAATTTAAACTTTAGATTAGCTGATTGTTTTTTTTTTCATAGATAGTTTATCTGTATAATTAAATAATTAACTATTTATTAATATTCTTATTTGATTAATTTATAATTTTACATAACAGAATATTAAATATAGTTAATCCATGATGCTTATTGTTGGCACAAAAGAAGTAATAAATGACACAAAAATATTCAATTTATAAAAAATAATGTATTTTTAATTTATTTTTTCGTAAACTATTATTATTATAAATTATTATCAATTGAAAATTTTAAAAATATTTTTGAGAAAAAAAAAGAACAAAAAAACACTTTAATACGTGAATCCTGAAGTCTAGTTAGAAATAATATTCTTTAAAGCACAAAGTAATGAAGGTTATATTGTTGATGAATTATTATTAATGCATTGTCACTTTTTCATGCAATTTTTACAAATTACAAAAAATTATGTCTGTTATAAATATTGGTTTTTAATATTTATGAAAATTTTGTAATAAATTTAACGAGTATATGTAATTTATTTTTCTTTGAAAATTTATAGTAATAAAATTTCATATAGAAATTACCTGTTTGTTACATTATTTCATTGCTTAGCAACCATAATATTCCTAACATATAGTTGACCACGTTGATTAATCAGTTCAAAGCATTGGTCCGAACATTAAAGAAATTATTTTTATTATTTTTCTTTTGAAAAATCTTCATCTACAATAATGGTAAGTAATTAAAGTACCGTATTTATCTTCGTTACTTAAATTTTCATTGCCACAGGGACCAAAGAAAGCAAAAGGAAAATCTACTGAATCAGTGGATGGAGTAGATACTTCGAAAATGAGCAGAGAACAATTAGAAGTATATTCTCATAAAATATTAGAAGAAATGGAACGTGAAAGAGAAGAAAGGAATTTTTTTCAATTAGAACGAGATAAGTTAAGGACTTTTTGGGAAATTACTAGAAATCAATTAGATGAAGCTCGAGCTACAATAAGGTACAGTTGCATTTTTTTTTAAATTAGAATGATTCTCATGTTTATTCATAAATATGATTCTTTATATAAAGTAAATAAAAAATTGACATAATTCTTTTAATAGGAATAAAGAGCGAGAAAAAGAAGAATTAGCAGAAAAACATGAAGCGGAATTAAAATTATACAAACAAAAAGTAAAACATTTAATGTATGAACATCATACAAATCTGTCAGAATCTAAAGCTGAACATATGGTAGCGTTAAAATTAGCGCAAGATGATCATAATGAGCAGCAAAATGAATTAATTAGGGATAAAAAAGACTTAAGAAAAGTACATAAAGAACAAGAACTATCTCACATTAATGAAATTCGAGCTTTAAAATTGGTAAATAAATCGAAAGAGTAGCATGAAAATTTGAAAAAGAAATTTAGTTAATAAAAAAAGTTCGTTAATTATTATTTGAACTAGCCGTTAATGATAAATACTTTACAGAAAAATGCAGAAGAAATGAGTAACTTAATTAAAAAGTTTGAAGCTGAGGCAATGGAAATGGAGCAAAAATATGAGCAAAAGTTAATGAGTCAATATGAGTCTCTTAATTTGAAGCATCGGATGGAAATTGCAGAAGTTGAGGAAAGAAAAAACATGCAAATTGCAAATTTAATTAAAAACCATGAAAAAGCATTTATGGATATTAAGACTTATTACAATGAAATTACGACGAATAATTTAGCTCTTATTGAAAGTTTGAAGGTAATAAAAATTTTTTCTTTTGAATACTTTTTAATTCTGTATTTATTTTTGTTGAAAACAATAACTCGTTTTCTTTTTTTAGGAACAAATGGAGGTAATGAAAAATAATGAAGAAAGAATGAAAAAACAAGTAAAAGAATTAACAGTAGAAAATAAAAAAATAGTCGGAGAAATAAAAACTATAGAAGAACAAGCTTCTGAAATGAGTAGACAATTGTCGAATTACGAGAAAGATAAGCTTTGTCTTGCAGTAAGTAGTTTTATTTGTTAATTAAAAAACTTTCTTATTTGAAATTGAATTTTTTTCTATAAATGGTTTCAGAACACAAAAAAGAGATTGTCAGTCATATCAAAAGATTATGAGAATCTCAAGTGGGAAAATGAAGTTTTGGAATTAAGGTTTGAGAAATGTGAAGCTGAAAGAGATGAACTGCACTCCAGATTCACGTCTTCAATATTAGAACTTCAACAAAAGACTGGTTTAAAGAATGTTTTGTTAGAGAAAAAACTAGAAAAGCTATCGGAGTTATTGGAACAGAAAGAAGCTCAAATTGGAGAAGTTTTAACGGCTGCTCAACTAGATCCTAGTGAAATAAACATTAGTCAGAAATTTGAGGTGAAATACAATCATTTGATCAATCAGTTTATTTGCGATAAAGTAGTAGAAGTATCTTTACTAATGTTTGTTTTTTTCTCTTCTTTTTTTTAGGATATCTTAAATCGGAAAAATATTGCAATTCAAGATCTTCAACATGATTTAGCAAAAGCTTGCAAAGCTCATGATGATTTACTGGCAACTTATGAAAATAAATTGCAAGAATATGGAATTAGGGAAACAGGACTAGGTCAACCGCTTAAACTATTACGTTTGAGGAAAAAAAGTAGTCTAACAGACAGAATTTTAACAAATTTATAAGCTTTGGATTTGAATTATCATTTATTTTACATTTTATATTAAATTTACGTTAGGTATAATTTTTGTACAACAAATAAGTCCCAGAAACAGACCGAAATTTTTTTTTTTTTTGAAAAATTAGACAAATTTTTATCACAGAGAATACACACAATAGACATAAGAAATTACAATAGTACCTGAAATTTTCATAGTCTTTACTTTCCATTTTTGTTTACGAAAGCCAAATTTCATGGCATTTTGATTGGCAATATCATCAATGAATAGTGATAAATAAAACAGTTTATATATATTCTTTAAATTTTTTTCATTCACATTACTTTACTAGCCTACTGATTCAGACTAAATATAAACGTCGAACAGGCACAAATATTTATGAGATTCATAAATAGTTTTATAAATTTTTTCGAGATTTTAATGACATTCATTTATTTAAACTACATAAACTTTATGTCTAAATATGTTCAGGTCACAAGGCTTTACTTTTGAACATCAAAACATTTATGAATATAATTATTTTCTTCTACATGATGTATTTGTTGGTATTATTCATAATAATAGTGATAGTAATAACTATTATTGTTATAATAATCATTCATCATTATTTGTCTAAATGACTTTCCTTTGATTCCAATAAGTTTAAAGCAGAAACTTTCAACTTGTAAGAAGAAATGTATTATTTCTGCAATTAGCAGTTTTTATGCATACTTAATGACTTATGAATATATTCGTATATTCAATAATTATAATGTTACATTTTTATAAGTACATTATTTTTATGAATTATTTTGTATCTGAAGATACTTTTTGGCACAATAAGAAAGAGAATCACAGATGAAATCATTGTACATTATGAGAGTTATTTGAAAAAAGTTTGTCAGGAGAAAAATCGCCAGTAATTAAAAAGAAATAATTTTTTAATATATAAATAAAAATAAATTAGTCTTTTGTCTTCTTATCAAACTGGCTCTACTTTAATAGCTATTTTTTTGTGTAATAATTTTTTTTTTCTTTATAATATTTATTCCTCTTCTAGTACCCAACAATTTTTTGAAAAATTGTTTTTTTAAATCACAGTCGTAGAAAAAATAAATATTTATAATGTAGTCAAGTGGTCCAGGCTTAAAAACATAACTTATAAAAAACATTTATCATAAACTTTTTTTTGTTATCTTTGGTTAAATGCATAAAAAATTATCACTTGAGATTAAAAATTAATTTAACTCATGATTCTCCATTTTGGCAAAACTTCAGCGATCATAGTTGAAAAGTATGATGTGACATTGTAAACAATCGTTTCACCAGCGGCCAAAATAGCAGCAAAGGAACCGTAAGTTCCATAATCGATAATTGTATGGTTGCAAGCTGCCAAAACTGCAAGATCTTTACCAGGCCCTCGTGCTTCTGTATCCGATACAAATTCTGTTTTGTATTTTTTACTCTTCAGATGGTATTTACACCATTCAATATTATCACTGGCGACGATAAAAATAACATTATTATATTTTTTTTCAAAATAATCTATCGCTGATAAATAATATCGTGGAGGAGCCGGTTTGACTTTCATTTTTTGCCACAAATAATCTATATAATCCGTTCTTCGAACATGAATTCCAACGTATATTGGCTGTATAATATTAAAACGTTTAGCTACATTTTTTAAGATCGTTTCTGCATATTGTTTCAAGTAAGGCTTGAATATAAATTCTCTTCTGATATCATCTAACCACACTAGAATTAAACTCCAATAGGCTGCATGTCTGAAATATAAACCAAATGAAAATCTGCTATTATTAAGAATAATTATTCTCATGTGTGTAAAATTTATTTCGTGCATATTTGACAAACCATGCTTTCTAAAAATTATAAAAAGATCTTAAAAGCATTGATTAAAGTTTAAAATTTTTGATAAAATTCTCTTAATTTAAATATTCTAAAAGCTCTTACCTAGGTATAATAATGCTTTGTTGTGTACTATTCCACATTCCAATAGAATTAACAACTTGTCCAACATCTAGAGTACATCTGCCAACATAACTAAGAGGAGGAATGCTCAGTTTATCAAAATGTTCTTGAAGAGTTTTCAAAATGCAGCGTGGCATGTACGGCTCAAGACCAGTTCTTCTCGCAGTAGCCCAAACTGAAGCATATTCCCAGATTTGGTTTCCTAATCGACCACCTTGCGCTGCAGAGACAATTCCGTACTTTGGACAGGAACTTCTCCATTCCATAGGTATTTTAGTTGGTTTGAAGCTACTCCGACACAATGCTTGCTCATATGCTGCTATTTTGGTGTGTCTGATCTGCGGGCTGGATGTGTACATAGGAAAGAGGAAGACGTGGATGCCGCAGACAACAATTAGAGCCAAAACTATTGCACTTGCAAGCACATGCTGCTGTGCTTGACTCATTTTTTATCTATTTTTTATGTTTATTTACGCTTAAAGACTTCTAGTTTATCTTCCAACTACTTTTGCTCACTAAAGCACTAGTTTGCTTTTTTCCTGGTGATTAAGATTCCGTCGCAGCTAGTCTGGCATTTCGGATCTACGGGCGTGCCTTGTCCTTTGTCTTTTGACGATCATCTTAGCAATAATTTACTAATTTTAATTATTTTCAGTGGTTTATCGAATACTAATAACAACAAAAATGAATTATGATGGGTAAATGAATTCTTTTTATTGACTTTCTCGTTTCAAGATCAAAGGAATGCACCCCTCTAAGCTTTCCGCGTGCTTCTAGCGTTATTAATATTCTAAATTAATTTTCATATTTTATACTTTTGTTTAAATTACATGAAGCGTGTGGGTGCTAATGAAATATCTGAAATTGTAATGAACGCAAAAGCAATAACTAAATTTACCTTAATCTCTTTTTTGTTTAATAGATTCATCCCCAAGCCGATGGTTCAATCATAGTGACACCCTCGAACGTCTCTGAAATTATCATCATTTTCAATTTATCGTTTTTAAATGTTTCTGTTGTAACCTTTATAAAAGGTTAGGATGGTTATCTAATTGAAAGAGAATAGATGAAAATAACCATGTAGACCAAATGATATGCTTACCTGTTATGCTTTCTATTTTATGCACTCTTAAGCTTATCTAATGTTTTATCAGTAATTTATGACGTCACTTGATGTTTTACGACGTGTGTATGTATTTATAGATTTTTTTATGAAATTCACGATGACGCAGCGCTTTAGTTTTCATGTTGCGCCTGTCAAAATTGTTCAAATCAAAGAAAGCGATCTGTATAATTTTCTGTAGATAAAATAGAAAACGTAGTTTATCGACGGGATAATTTCTTCTTGAGAGCGCATAAAAGTATAGATTATTGTACAGTGAAATAATGGTTGTTTCATTCCAGAAAGTCATTTGCGTGCATATTGGTCTTCATTTCCGTTTGTTTGTATTTATATAATTTTCTTGGTGAAATATCAGTTTGAACGAATTCTGGTCCCGAACAAATGGAAATCAATATGGAAAAAGAAGAGATTGAGTCGAGTGATAGTGAAGAATATGAAAGCAACTTTGTAGAAATTTCTGAAGAAACTAAAAATGATGCTGAGGCGCCATTACCCAAAAAATCAAAAGAGAAATATATGACAACATATAACAAATTTATAGAATGGATGAAGACTAAACAAATTGAGTTGATATCAGAAAATATTATGTTAGAATATTTTTATCAATTAGGAAAAGAACTTAAACCATCAACTTTATGGGCAATGTATTCAATGTTGAAAAATACTATTAACTCTCATCATAATATAAACATTGGTGTTTATACTAAATTACTTTCATATTTAAAAGTACGTTCAATAGGATTTTCAAGCCAAAAGTCACAAGTCTTAAAATCAGAACAAATTAAGAAATTTTTAGCTGAAGCTCCTGATGAAATTTATTTAGCAATGAAGGTAAATTAATAAAATTATATAATTCTTTGTAATTTTCAAAAGTAAACCTCAATTTTTTCAACAGGTTGCATTAATTTTTGGTGTTTCCGGAGCCTGCAAGAGAGACGAACTTTGTTATTTGACTGTTGATAACATTGAAGATAAAGATTCTGTATTATTAGTAAGAATACCATCAAGGCGAAATAATCGACGAAGATCATTTTTTGTTGAAAAAAAATGTTACGAAATCGTTAAGAAATATATGAGTTTAAGGCCAAAAGACGTAAAAACTCCTAGGTTTTTCCTTAAGTACAGCAATGGAAGGTGTTATCAGCAAGTTATTGGAGTTAATACATTTAGCACTATGCCTAAAAAAATTGCAAAATTTTTAAAACTCCCTAATCCTGAAGCTTTTACTGGGCATTGTTTTAAGCATAGTAGAGTAGTACTCGATGATGACGAAGACGATGATGAAGATTCTGATTTTATGGTTGTAACACAAGATTATGGAAGAAAAAGACCAAGAAAAAGTAGTACCGAAGATTCTCCTTCAAATAAAAAAAGTGCTTACCGACCGATAATGAATTGTATTAGTGATGGATCATCTTGCAATTTGGATGTTGATCCATTAGCAATGAATTTTGAACATTCAGGAACTTTGAACTCTTTACATTTGGAAGAAAGTACAAATTCTATTAATTTAGAAGAAAGTACAAGTTCTATAAATTTAGAAGACGGTACGAATTCTATTAATGTAGAAAAAACATCAAATTCATTCAATTTAGAGGGAAATATATTAAGAACCAAAAATGGTACTCTTATATTCAATAATTGTTCTAATATATCAATAATTATTAACAATAAGAAAGATGATTGATTTTCGATATTTATTTGTATATATATGAATATATATACATAAAAAATAATTTTATATAGCTGAAGGTATTACAGATTAATTTTTTACTTGGCCCATATTAATACATCATTTAACTAAAGAAAAACTTCTAAAAATTATTAATTGTCTATTTACACATATAAATTTGTTTATTTATAAGTGTTTAATTGAAAGTAGTTGAATTTATATTCAACATTTATCCATCACTATTTAATGTCAATTCATAATTTCTAGTAATAGTTATTTTTTCTGCTGTTCATAAAGTTATCTGTAAGTTCAAAGAAATCTACGTCAATAAATAATATATTTTTAAATTTTAATCCTTAAAAAAATTTATTTATAATTATTATAACCAATAAAACATAATTAATTTTAAAACGTTACAAAGCAAGTAAAAATTACAAGAACATCATTAGAATAATATGGTAAAATACATTAATTTCAAATTTTTAATAAAGATGTCGACTGTTTACAAAAAAACAAAACACGGCAGTATTGTGCTGCGCGTACGTTTTTGCGCATGTTATGATTCGCACATCAACAAGTGATATGATCGATGCTGGCGTCTATTTGTAATTTAATTGTGTACAACAAATAAATGAATTTTTCGAATATGTATTGTTATGTACGTTTGAGGTGTTTATTAAAGTACTTTTTTAAAATTAAGTGATTAATAGGGAAAAGGTAGTGAGTGAAATCCGTTACGCTTCTATAAAAAACATTCACGACATGCATGCAAACATGAAATTTATTTACCAGTACTAAGTGTTTATGTAAAACAAACAAGATATGAAAATTTGTAGATATTTTCACCAAATCAAGTAAGTTATTTTGCCCATATTGTGATTTATTTTAATATGCTTGGGTGACAATTTAAAATCATACATAATATGAGATACCTGATGTACTCAATATTTAGATATATACATGTATATATGTATACTAGAAAGCCGAATTTTTTTCAATAATTCATTCGTTTTGAACTATAATTCATGATTAAATAAGCTGGATTTTTATTCTATAAAATATTATATTTTTATTTTTTCTAGTAGAAGGAATGTAGAAAAGTTTAAAATTCTTTTTCGCCACGAAAAAAGCTTGTCTTTTATTTCATCTAGTTTCAATGAATCTTTTGTATTATTATTATTATTATTATTATTATTATTTTATGTATTCTATACACTATAGGTATTGGCTTCAGTGAAAACAAAATTTTTCCTACCTGTATTCATTTAACAAAGTTACTCTTACAATCCTCATAGTTTTGTGTTCTGTAAAACTGCTAGAGGATTGATGAAGTTCAGAGAACTTGTGTTCAGGTATCAATTTGCCGTCAATTGCATCCCTCGTCTGGAGTTATCTGTAAAGCGTCTTTTGATCCTTGAGAGATAAAATATATCAAAAGATTTGAACAATATCAAACAATGAAACTTTTCAAATAGTTTTGTTTGATTTTTTTTCTTCATTATCAAAAATAGTACTTTTGATATTCCACTGTTTTACGTACATCACACTATGTTTTAAAAATATTTGAAACAATAATGTATATATATCATTTTTGATATTATAAATTACAGTAGTTATCATCGATATGTTAGATTTTTACATTTCTGTTGGTTCTTCTCCAAGGACATATCCATGTTATTTATTTTTCATTAACATTATTTGCCCTTTCTTTTTATGGTTTCCATTTCACGTTCTCTGAAGACAACAAATATTAATTCTCCGAGACATTCACTTGCTAAAAAAATTCATTTTTTGAAAGAAATTTATTTTTTATTCATCTTCTGTTAAAAATTGGATTATTGAGTTTGAAAGCTTGATTATTTGATATTATTACAGTCTAGTGACAGCAAAATGATGATTACAATCATAATAATAATAGTAGCTGTAAGAATGAAAAATTTTTATTTCATTTCTTAAGATGATTTATTAACGTTGGAAAATTTATTTTCTTAAAATAGTAATTCATAGTTATCGAGTGAGACAAAAAAAGTTCAAATAAGATATCAATTTTTTGGTGGTAATGTGCCAATAGTATGTTCACAAAATAATATGATTTTATTTTAATTTTCTCATCATTTACCATTATTATTTTTATCGTAAAGTGAGACTAGCATATGACTCTTAAGCTTTCGTTGGTAGTCAGTAGTGGTGTCTGCGGTTTTCTCTACAGAATTTATTATGCACCGGCAGGCTGACCACACGAGTATGTTCACTACTGTGTTAAACATTCTAGCATCTAGATGCAAATAAATACACGAAAAAAATATTTTTCGTACAATAAAATTACAAAAGTCAATTCTCTGCATTAAAAAAGAATAAAAATTTATTTATATATTTATATTAATAATAAAAATATACTTAACTTTCAAAACTTTATAGTGAAAGAATTTTTGCAACGATTTAAAATAATATTTTTCAGAAAATAAACTATTTGTTATCTATTTGAAAAATTTCTAATTCAAGTTAATTAAAGAATCGCATGAAAATAATTACCACGACCGAATTTTTTTTTTTTTTCAACACTGTATTTCACTTCGGCATGCTTTTTATTATCACTATCTGTATTGTATCTATATATTCTCGACATCTAGTTGATACGAAATCGATTTTTTCAAGATTTATTAATTGTAGTTTCATTCAAAAAAAAGGAAAAAAATGAAATAATAGAATTTTTAAATGTAAAGATATCCTCACCGGAAGCCATTTTTTCTGAAGACGAATGGTTTAATTTTGTGTTGAAGGGAACGACGGATAGAAAATTGAATCATAAATCGAATTTCATTTGTTTCGAGAGTCTCACCGAATGCATTGATAGAAAAAAATAATGAAAACGAAATAATATATTGGCATTTATAAATTTATGCCCATTTTTTATAGCTAAAATTTTGTAATTTTTAATAAAATATTTTGACGCTTTAATGGAAGGTTCATTTATTTTAAGGGTCATACGAATGTGTATACTATGAGATTAGAGATACCTACTCTGTTTGTGTTGCAGTAACAAATTTTCATTTACTCTCACCCTTTTCCCCCTGCTCCCTAGACTCATGTGACTCTACACTACTCTATTCCATGAGAGATTCAAATTAATTAATTAATAATCCGTTGTGTCCCGCCGTTATGAAACATTATATCAATTCATTTTTTATTTATTTATAGCACTTATTATTTAGACTAACAGCCTCTTTTAGTTATTTATAATTAGTTACAGTTGATAAATGTTACTCTTTCTTTTAATTCTCTCATTTAGACTTTTTTTTTATTCTTTTCTTTTCAACAATTAGAAAGATGCTGTCAAGATATTCAGGGATATTAATACTTGTCGGTAGGATATATCCACTAATAAGGAAAAATAAAGATTGCCACGCCATATTGGTCGAATGTTTTGTCTCGTACGTGACCTGAGAACGGTTAGAGCTTGCTAAATTTTTTCTTTTATAACTCTAATTTGATTTACGGCTGTGATAAATGAGGAATTACGATTTCTCGATGTAATTAAACGTATTAAAAGTATTTCCATTTTTAAAATGACCAAAATTTAATGTACTTTTTATTGATATTTTTTTGTCATTTGCTTTTATTGCAACATGTATGTATATTATTATGATAAAATAATTTATTTTACATGTAAATATGTCGTTAAAAAAAAAAAAAAAAAGATGTTTTATAATAAATAAAAGTCTCAAGTGAGACTGAAATTTTTATATTCAAAGGAAATACAAGAGAGAATATGGGGTTTATCAGTCAGTCAATATCTCTGGGATATTGACACCGTTGAGTCAAGAGATACATCCTTCAATAGCACACAACCAAAAATATTCTATTGCTACTATAGCTTTAATTTTTGTTTTTTTTACGTATAGCAAGAAAAGTCGGTAGTCTCAATAAAATAATAATCGGTTATAACATTGTATACATCCTCAATGTAATTTGATTATATTGTAAATCAATTTCAGACATAGAACAGATACTCAAGTGAATGATGTAAGTTGCCAATGACACTTCTTAACACCAAATAATAATTTTTTTTATATATCGAATATATTATGTAGTATTTCTTATAGAAAACTTGGTTATAAAAATTATTTCATTGTGACCATATAAAAGTAGAAAAGAATGTTATTTCATTTCTTACTGGTTTTACGACGACTGTTGAAAGACATTATAAATTGAATAAGATAATTTAATCAGCTGAAATAATTAAAAATAAATCAAATTATGAATATTATGAAAATAAAATTCAATAATAATTCATGTGTACTTACACTTTTGAATGCTCCTAATGATAAAGAAATGACATACCCACTCGAGAATGTAACTGGCTTTGATGATCTAATCATGATTAAGTTCATGCATTTTCGAAAGTTGTTACTCAGTGTATACCAATTGGTGCTATAAATAGCATCATTGAGCTCAGAAAACTAGGAATAAATTGATATAATGATTATTTTAATACTATTTGTCTTACAAGACTTAATATGGACAACAAAAATTAGTTATTATTATCAAAATACCTCAATAGTCATTTGATTGCCAACTAGACATGGAAAAAAAATATGTAGAATCATGCAAGAGATGTACACAGCACAACCAATGAATTCTGGGGAAAAAGCAGGCGTTTGAGATAAAACGTAGATGCTAGTGCAGAGAATTAGTGCACTTAATCCAAATTGGACGAACATTGTTCGTGAAAAAATATCAGTCAAGTCATCTACAAGGCTAAAAAAAAGACAGTTATTGATCATGAAAAGTCGTTATTTGTGATTAAAAAGATTAAGTGAAAATAAATATAATGAATTAGATTGAATTAACGAACCTCAATATGGAATTTTGGAACATTACGTATTCAGTAATAAATTTTTTTTCCAAACTTTCGTATTCTTCAAATTTTCTATCACTTTGAAGTAATGAGTTTCTTTCCAAATCATTCAGCATTCGTCGAAATCGACGTTTAAGAATATTTACTTGCAGGCAAATGTGTACTATTATACCCAGGAATAATGTATCATATGTTACATTCATGTTAGCAACAAAAATGATGGTAATTATTTGTTGGAAGGATGTGAATAAGTATATGTTTGATATATCGTAGGGGAACCAAGCCTTATAAGGAAGTAAACCTTTTTCATAGCTTTCGAGCATTATGAGAGAGCTAACTGTTAGAACTGATGATTCAACAAATGCTATGTATGCAAATGTGTAGAACCTAATAAATTTGTTAAATATAAAGTCATCATTCAGAACTACTTGTTAATACATTGTGTGAGTTATTGTTATAAATGGTAATGAAAAAATTCAATTACGCTTGAAAAGTAATTATAGACAATTGTTCGATCGAAAAATGATCAAACAAATGACCAGGGGTGGTGTGAAATTGTGTGGAAAGATAGGGAACAATTCCTATCTATTATCTGTTTTCTTTTGAAAAATATTCATGAATTTTGAGCGGATTAGTTCTAAAGAGTAAACCAATATTGAAATTAATTTCTTCAGTAATGATAGATCAATTGTATTTTACTTTTTTATATCATAAAGAATGAATCAATTTGATGCTTAATGAAGCAATTATGATCAAGAACAGCTCGAAATATAAACTATTAGCAAAGTCATTATAATGATGATGGCGACATGAAATACCATAAATATTATTGGCTATAAATATTTTTTAAACATTTTATGATACTATAAACCAAATATTAATAATTAAAAATGAAACATAATAATAAATATACATTATCTTACGATAATAATCATAATATTGTTCAAAAAATTTACCTGATAGATTTTTTACACTGTTCACTCAGTTGCCACTCTTCAAAATCTTGAACTTGAAATTTGGATGATTGTAATTTTTTTACTAAATTAATAATTTTCTGTCTTCGACCAATGACTGTCAATAACTTAGCAAGTACTGTAATGGCTGTGAAAATAATTGAGGAATCATGTATGATGTCAATAATATTCGTGGCAAAAAAAATTAGTCCCATTATTCCACAGATGATAAAAAATATAATATGACAAACTAATAGTAATGTATAACAATAGTACAATAAACATATCATTAATCCCCATTTCTCTGACTTCCAGAGTCCAAGAAGTGTTAGTATACCAAATGCTTCCGGTAGTATTTCCATTGTTTGTCAATATAAAGTTTGTGATGACAGACTGTTATACAACAGTGTAACGATAATAATTTTCTTATGTCATATTCTTAGAAAGGAATAGGATGGTAGATTATAAAATCGATCTAGAAATTGCTGCTTAAATACAAATAATTGGAAAGACAATTTTGATGTTAATTGCGAAGAATACGAAAACGATAATTATTTTCGCAGTCATTGATATTTATTATTCATGCGTCATAGGAGATCTGTGTAACCCCAAAGAAACTTCAGTTACAATTAAACCTTTGAGAACAACACTTGAAAGCATATCTTCCAATATAAAATAAAAAATTTTCTATCAAACTCAAACTGAAGTTAATGAAGTGTTCATGAGTATCATTGGAGATCATTCATATGTGTAATTTTATTTTTCATACCAATACTTGGTGTTGTGCTAATAATTTCTTAACATTTTTATGCTGTTGGTAACATATAATTCATATTTTATTGGTCATATTAATTATGATAATCTTTAAAAAATTTATTTACTAAAAATGATAAGTTACCAGAAAATTTCATTAATTCACTAAACATGTAGTAGTTTATAAAATGATTAAAAAAGTATAAAAGTTAATATTGTAAAAAAGACAATATTAATCTTAAACATATTTTATATCTTAGGCTATTGATATGATTTTAAGAGATTACAAAATGACATTAGACACAGAAAAAATACCCAAGATTCTTTTGGTGACAATATCGTAATTTGTGCATTTTTTTCCAGCTTTATGCTGCTATTAATATACATTTTACATACGTGAGGAATTATGATCGATGTTTACAACCGAATGAAACAACGAAATGTTTTTGTAAAATATTAGTATAAAAAAATTTCATTCCATCACTCTTTTATACTGAACTTTTTCTAAAAAAATTCCATTTTGTAATAATATTGCTATTATTTAACATTATTGTATGAAAATTCATATAGAAAAAGGTTTCTTGTGATTTAAAAAGATTGTTGAAAGACATTAAAGAGCGAGTAAGATAGTTTCAATAGCTAGAAGATCAAAGAGAGATAATTAGCAATCTGATGAAGAAGTGTAGTTGACAGTTACTTTAACTTACACTTTTAAACGCTTCTAGTGAAAAGGAAATAACATAACCACTGGAAAATTTAATCGGTTTTGCAGACTTGATCATGATTAAGTTCATACATTTTTGAAAATTGTTACTCAAATTGTACCAATTGGTGTTGTACATGGCATTATTTAAATCAGCAAACTAAGGACAAAATGAATTTCTTTAAAGTCTATTTTTGTTGTAACAAATTTCATTAAAGATACTAACTTAAAGCCGTTCTGTTTACCTCAAGAGTCATTTGATTTCCAATGAGACATGGTAAAAATATATGTGAGATCATGCATACAATATACACAGTACAACCAATAAATTCTGGTGAAAATATTGATGTCTGAGCTAAAGCGTAGATGCTGGTGCAGAGAATTAATGCACTTAATCCAAATTGAAGAAACATCGTTAGTGAAAAAATGTCTGTTAAATTTTCTACAAGTCTACAAAAAATAAACAAGGGTTATGATTAGTAAAAATTTGTGTTGCAATATGAAATATTTATCTCAATAGCTTAGTAAAACCCACTTGAAAATAGCATTCTGGTACATTACATATTCAGTGATAAGTGTTTTCTCTAGTGTCCTATATTCTTCAGAATTCATGTCGCCTTTGAGCGATAAAATGCCTTGTAAATCGTTCAACATTCCGTGGAACCGATGTTTGAGAATATTTACTTGCAGGCAAATATGGAAAAGTATACCCAAGAGTAATGTATCATATGTTACATTTATATGAGCAACAAAGATAATGGTAATTACTTGTTGAAAAGACGTAAATAAGTATATATTTGATACATTATAGGGAAACCAAACTTTGTAAGGTAATGAGCCTTTTTTATAGCATTCAAGCATTACAAGCGAGTTATGTACTATAGCTAATATTCCAACAAATGCTATGTATGCGTGAGTATAAAATCTGATAAATTAAAAAAAAATCCATCAATTAAAATTTTACTTAATGATGATAAGAATATATATAAACTAAATTTTCTAAGTAACAAATCGTTTCGCAGTCTTGAAAGCACCAAGTTTTTTAATTCTCACAAATTATTTTGTTTTAATTGATGATAATTAAATAAAATTACCTGATCGATTTAATGCATTGCTCTTTCAGTTGATGTTCTTTTTCATTTTTTGGCTGAAACTGTATCACTTCTAAACTTCTCATAAGTTCGATAATCTGGTGTCTTTGTCCCAAGACATTCATCATCTTTCCAATGACTGTAATAACTGTGAAAATGAGTGATGAACCGTTAACTACATGAATTATACGAGTAGAGAAAAAAATCAAGCCCATTATTGAAGAAAAAGTGAAAAACATGATATTATAAATTAGAAGTAATGTATAGGAGTAATAAAATATACACTTCCATATACTCCATTTATCTGACTTCCAAAGACCAAGAAGTCTTAGCATACCAAATGCTTCTGGTAAAGTATCCATTGTTTGTCTGTTTCTAAAATGCAATGTAGAATAACCTGATGATTATTTGTGAAACAGGAAGTTGATAATTTTTCTGTTGTACATTTCCATAAAGGGTTTAAGAATAATCGATCTGAAAATTGTCACATAATAACAGATAATTGGAATGAGTATGTCGATGTTAATTGCAAGCAATATGTAAGAACAGAAAATATACCTCTAATAACTGTTATTGATAATTCATATGTCAAAGGGGTTTTATGTAGGGTTGAAAATGCGTCAGTTCAAGTCGAGCTTCTTAACTAAACGTTTTAAATATACCAGCTCTTGAAGTTGATTTGGAATAATATGTGGAATTTTTTGTATCAAATAATTATTGTGAAAAAATATTGAAACATCATAAGGTAAAGAAAAGTAAGAAGGAAGTTGGTGAAGAATATGATAGTATATCATTTATGCGGAAAATTTATTTATTTTTATTATGTACACTGAGACTTGACTACTTATCTAATTTTTATCTCGCTTTTTTACCGCTGTAAAGTTCAAAGGATCATGGTTGATTATTATTTACCAATAAAGTTTGATCATGTACTTTGTTTACAGCATAACTACTCAATAGTAAACCTCAAAAATACTTTCTCATATAATAAAAAATTCCTTTTTGAAGATTCTAAATAATTTGTATAAAGCTTTACCTTGGTGTTGTTTTCTGATGATCCAAATCAGTAAATCAATCAATAATGATCATCTGAAGAAAAATTCTTCAAGAATTATTCCATTCATTTCCTAATCAATTTCGATCCTTTAAGAAGCTTGTTGAAAGACATTAAATATAGAGTATGATAATTTTAACAGCTAAATGTTGAAGAAATAAAATTATTTGTGTAAAATATTTGATAAGAAAAATTGAATGAGATATAATTTTATACTTACGCTTTTGAATACATCTAATGACAGAGAAATGACATAACCACTAGAGAATAAAATTGGTTTAGAGGATTTAATCATTATTATATTCATACATTTTCTAAAATTGTTGCTCACAGCATACCAATTTGTGTTGTACATGGCATCATTCAAATTAGCAAACTAAATAAATTTTATTGATAAAATTTAATTTATTTATTCATCGTGTAAATATATTTTAATTTTATAATAGTCACCTCAAGAGTCATTTGATGGCCAATAAGACATGGAAAGAATATCTGACAAAACATGCACGAAATATATAAAAAACAAGCTAAAAAATCTGATGTAAATACTGGTGTTTGGGATAAGACGTACATGCTAGTACATAAGATCGAGGCACTTGATCCAAATTGTACAAACATTGTTTGAGAAAATATCTCTGTTAGATTACTAACAAGTCTGAGAAGACAAAAAAAAACAATGAATAAAGATTTGTTATTGTTTAAAAAAATACTCCAAAAATTTATTTTGCAAAAGTTTTTTAAAAATATTTTTTAGAATCAAAGTTTATTTGGTAGAATGATAATGGAGTTGATACGAGTGTTTACTCATAAAATATTGAATTTCATTAATATTCATCAAAACTTGGAAAAATGTTCATTAGAGAAACGTGTTTGTGATATTTCAGACAAAAAATAAAAGAATGTCTTCAAATGTAAAATAGTTCACTGCGCGCCTCTTTTAATTATATTATTATCTTGAAAAAAAAACTTTTATAATTGAAAATATTTAACGAACTTTTGCAGAATAAAATTTTGTACAAAAATAATGGTTTTAATTCAACGAACTCAAAAACAGCATTTTGAAATGATACGAATTCAGTGATAAGCTTTCTCTCTACTGCTTCATATTCTTGATAATTAAACTCGCTTTTAGCTGATAAATGTCCCTGTAAATCATTCAGCATTCTTCTAAATCGATATTTAAGGATATTCACTTGTAAGCAAATATGTGTAATTATTCCCAGAAGAAGGGCATCGTATGTCGAGTTGATGTTGGCGAAAAAAATGACAGTAATTACTTGTTGGTAGCATGTAAATGATCGTATGTTTGATATATTATAAGGGAACCATGCGTTGTAAGGCAATAAACCTTTTTGATAATACATCAAGATATAAAGAGTATGAAATATTACAACTGATGTTCCAACAAATGCAAGATAAACGAATGTATAAAACCTGATAAAATTTTTATTAACATTAAAAAGAAACAATACTAGAGAATAGGACGTATTTTATTACTTATATTAATTTAGAAAAATCAATTACTTTTAAATATTCAAATATAAATTGACTGTTTTAAAAAGTTTTCAAAATTTTAGAATAAACTAGCTGAGTATTAATGAGTTTAACTTGGAGAAATTTTTTTTTTTTATATTAACATATTTATAATGGGGTAGAATAATTATTACCTAATAGATTTTTGGCATTGGTCTCTCTGTTGCCATTCTTCATAATTTTTAGATTGAAAATCAATCGTTTGTAGCTTTGTAATTACACTGATAATTTTTTTCCTGTGTCCAATAATAGTATTCATTTTCCAAAGTACTGGTATAGCCGTGAAAATAGATGATGAATTATTGATGATATCAATAATGTTTGTAGAAAAAAAAATTAAACCCATCGTTCCGGAGAAAATAAAAAAAATTATATTATAAGCTATCAATAATGTATAGCAATTATATAATATACACTTCCAGACTCTCCATTCATCTGATTTCCAAAGCCCAAGAAATGTTAGCATTCTAAAAGCTTCTGGTAATATATCCATTATCAGTTGATAGAATATAGTACTATAAATGTGATATCAAGGAAGTAGTTGATATACTAGAAAGACAATAACTTTTCTTTTTACTTCCCTGGGAGGAAAACCTCATGAGGCAGTTATTCACTTCGATTTGAAAATTGTTAGATAATAAGAATAAATGGAACACAATTATTGCTAATTACGAAATAATAGCACAAGAGAATAGATACCGTAGGTAAGTGATATTTTATAATTCATGTGTCAATACGACTATGCGCAAAGCTGAAGAAAAGTCAGTTTATATCGAGCTCTCGTGACATTTCTTTAAGTTGTATTATAAAATCACTTGATTGGTTCATTTATAACAACAGCTGATAGGTTAAAATAATTTTTAGAATTTGAAAAGTATCTTTTAAAAACTTATTTAAAATTAATTCAACTTTCTTTCGATTTGATTAAATTGTTATAAGGATTGAAGAATCATATTATTAATCAGACATCAATGATTAGTGTTATTTGTTATATTTTTTTTGTTGATATTTTTAGGATAAGTCAAGGGAATTTATTTTTTATTGCTTGTTTAAATACTGCTTTTTAAATTATTTTATAGATATATTAGGGAGCATTATATATATATATATAAATATATCATGTCTAATAATCGAAAGGGAGAATCAACTGTCTTGAGAATTTTTCTGGGTCAGTTCCATTCAAGAATTATTTGTAGACTCAAATAAAATTGGCTATTATATGTGAATAGCGTTCCATATCAAAAATATAAAATAAATGCAAACGATGTACTTTATATGATTTATATGTTTAGGAATAATTTACATTATTATCATAATAATATGTTTATCAATTTATTGCTTTTTAAATATTTATATTCGTTTTTATTTGGTATAATAAATATAAAAATTTCGGTCAATTGAAGTATGAATTTTTAACAGGATCAAAATGCAACAGTATTTAAGAAGATTGTTGAAATACATTGAAAATAGTGTAAGATAATTTCACGAGCTACAGAATAGAAGGATTTATTATTATTTAACTTTCATACAGAAAAAAAGAATTGGTATAGAATCAAAAATTACTTACCTTTTTGAAGGCCTCTAATGATAACGAAATAATATATCCACTGGAAAATACTATTGGCTTTGATGATTTAATCATTATTACATTCATACATTTTCGAATGTTATTGCTCAAGTCATACCAATTGGTATCATAAATAACATTATTTAATTCTGCAAACTGGAAGAATAATTATTATTTTCTCGAGAATGAAAAAAAAGCTACTATCTTCAAGCATAATGTTTTTCATTTTCATCATGTTCGAAAGGATTTTTTGTATTTTATGTATTAGGAAGCAAATGAACACTAAAATTTTCTAAAATATTAACCGAGTAGTGTAACGGTTTTTCTCCCTAATGTTCAACGGTGAAATGAAATAATAGATGAAATATTTAATTATCGGCTAATTTAACTACTAATTAAGTATTATTAATTATTGTAATAGAAAGAGTTAAATTGCACTACACAGTACTCTTGTCCCCTTTTATGCTATTGAGCTCAGTTGTCCAGGATTCGTCATTAGGAACTAACATCCTAAGACTAGCCGGTTTGTGAGGTGGCCCCTCACAGTAGCCACCAAAAGTAGATTTTTGGGCCAATTATCTGAGGGATTGCACTGAATCAATGACTCTAAGTAGTATGATCCAAATAGGATCGTATCAATAATCGAAATCAATATTCAAGTGAGATTATAATAAAACATGTCAGCATTATTGGTTGTGTGTGTACGCAGTACTAGTTTTGTCCTGAGTTGTATAATCGTACAATCCAATACTCAGATTATTGAATGATGGTTCATTGTCTAATTGTCCAGAGAGAAGTACAATGGTTGGATTTACTATTATGTATTAATGTTTCATTTAAAGGTTTCCAGTAGAAGGTTTCTTCTTTTCTTTATTATTGAAGAACTTAACTTTGAATGAAAAAATATTAATTACCTCAATCGTCATGTGATTGCCAATAAGACATGGAATAAACACTTGGCAACTCATACATAAAATGTACATTAAAAAAGCTGAAAACTCAGATGTAAAAACTGGCATTTGAGCAAGAGCATACACTCCAGTACATAGTATAAAAACACTTGATGCAAATTGAATAAATATTATTATAGAAAAAATATCCATTAAATTTTTGACCAAACTAAAAAATAAAAAATCTACATTTACAAGACATAAATTACATGGTAATAAAATAAGATCTACAAACCTTAAAATACTACTATGGAAAGTAACATATTCAGAGAAAGTAATTTTTTCAAATGTTTCCTTTTTTTCCAGTGAATACTTTTTCACATCATTCAACATTCTTCGAAATCGATATTTGAGAATATTTACTTGCAGACAAATATGCATCATCATTCCAACAAGTAATACATCAAAGGCCACATTAACGTTTGCAGATAAAAAAACAGTTATTATTTGTTGATAAAACGTAAATAAATAGATATTTGATGTGTCATAAGGATACCATACTTTGAAAGGTAATGAACCCTCTCGATGGCCTTCATAAACCTTATTCGTATGAAAAAGAATTACTGCTATCTCAACAAATGCTATGTAAATAGAGGTGTAAAATCTAATTAACTTTCTTTAGGTAGATTCATGTGTATATATTAATAAAATAAATGTCAATGTTAAAAAGCTCCAAAATATTGTGGTAAATCTGATCTTCAATAGTCCTCCAATGATTTTAATTCAATTGAATCTAGTTCTTGAATCTTGGAGGTAGAGAATATATTTTCAAAAGTTAAATATTAATTTGAAGATAGCGTTATTTAAGCTTTTATTTATAAATAAAATAACGTATTTTAAAGCTTTTACACTGGCATTTTTTACTTAAATTTCAATCAAAGAAAAAATCAATAAAAATATCCTAGTAAGTGTACAATGTCTGAACGAAACTGAATGAATCTACTAAAATAACGAAAGTAGTTCAATTTTAAATCATAATGATATTGACAAAACAATTTACCTGATTGATTGCTCATAATGATTATTCAGCTGTATCTCTTCATTACTTTTTAAACTCAATTCAAGATTTTCTATTTTTTGTATGAAAGAAATAATCTTTTTCCTTTGGATAATAATGGTAAACATTTTACCAATTACAGTAAATATTGTAATAACCATTGAACAATTATTAACAAGCTCAAAAATATTTGTTGAAAAAAAAATTAAACCCAAAAATCCAAAACAAAAAAATGTAATTGAATGGTATGCAAATATTATTGTGTAGCAATGATACAGTATACACTTCCATGTTTTCCAATCCTCATTTGATTTCCAAAGACCAATAAACATAAGTATCCGAAATGCTTCCGGTAATTTGTTCATCATTCACTTACACAATGAAATTTTATTTGAATCACCTTCTACAACTGTCTTATGATTTTGTGGTATAGAGGACGTTATTTAGAAAATAGAGAGACAATAATTTTCTCTCTTATTATTGAAGTAAGGAATCGATTGAATTAATCATTTAATTCAATTTGAAAATTGTCTTGGAACAATAGATAAATGGCAAGAGCATGTTTTTTATTTAATTGTCAGTGACATAGACATGATAATTAAACTAATTATTAGTATTAAGAATTCATATGTCAAAGGGGTTGCTTGTAAAGTTATAGAAACATCAGTTCAAAGTAAGCTCTCGTAACAAACGTTTGAAAACTTTGGTTAGAGTCAGACAATAGTGTTATTTTATTTTATTTGAAGCAGAAGAAAATGTAGTTTGTACGAATCTGGAATACTATAAAGATGATATTTTTGATTTCTTTCAGGTGTCAAAAATGGATTAATAAAAAAGAGTGCAAGGGTGCTTTCATACAATTTGAGAATAGTATTTCTTTAGTGTGGATCATGAAAAGGAGAATTTTTGTGCCATTGAATATGAAAACCAATGGCAAGCTTTCTTGATTACTTAATAGGTGAGTTAAAATATTTCCTTTTTTCATGTATAGTTGAGAGAAAATTAAAACATCTTTTGATGAGTTGTAAACATTTAAATACAATAACCATAGAATTCAATTGAATTTATTATCGTCGATATTTTTTTATTCTTTGATTGTAATCCACAGTTACAAATCGCTATATAATTTCTTTTTTAATCTAAGATTTATTAAAAATTTTTAAACTTGAAATTATAGTTGATTTTGAACTTTTCTTTTTGCTCAATAGTTTTCTTTTCATACCAATGTCTTTCAGAAGATAAATATCAAAAGAATATGTTAGTTGACTTCAGACTGAGTCTAATGACATTGTAAAATATGCAGATGTTTTGCTTTAGAGACGGTTAGGTACAGTAAATGGCATAAAAAGTAGTTAATAATAATAAAATAATATTTTCATTTATAAATTGACAATCATTTGCTTAATTAACAACTGTGTTTATTTGTACATATTTTTATTCTTACTTTTTCATTATTTGCATCATATTTTTTTGCTGCATTTCTTTTCTTGTTTCGTTACAACTGGAATTAATTATGCTCTAGATGTCTAGAACAGTATTATCTAGTTCTAAAGAACTAACTATTTTCTGACAGAGTCCACCTTATTACTTACTTTATTTTTACAGAAGAATTCACAAACTTGCATTTCCTTTCTTATTGTTATTTGTTAATTAACGACTAGTAAATAATAAAGGAGAAATGATGAATTTTAGTAATTAATGTTTGTTGCGTGGTGTTCAGTAAATTCATTTGTTTTTTTTTTCTTATCAAATCTTATTATATTTTTGTCATTATAATAAAAAAAAAAGACAGTTTTATTTTATCATTCGTTTGAGATATTGTAGTAGTAAATATACTGAGTTAATTTATCACTATTTAATCATTATAAATTTAATCATTTATTTATAATTATTTAATTCATATTTGAAGAGATTGAGTTAGTAAATTTATTGAATAAAAGATGTTAATTTATTATTGTATATTTAATTGATATTTTTTCATAATTGATGAATTTATTTAGTAATGTTTTTTAATTAAAATTTTTACTGACTTTTAATTATTATTTAAATTCAATCTAAATTTGAGTAAATATTAATTCCATACATTTATTCATAGCTTTATTTGAAGCTACTTGAATTATTATCTCCATACGTATCAATATTTATTACATTTCATATTGAATATACATATATATTCCTAAAAACAGTTACAATAAATATTGAATTAGTCTTTTTTTAGTTTATTATATAATTTTGAAATGGTTATTCTGATCTTTTATTCTTCTTTGGCTAAAATCAAAAGAACAATGTTGAACATAATTTTAATAGTATTTTTCTTCCATCAATTCATTTTATTTTTTCGTACATAAATTGGTATCTGTAGCCTGAAAATAAAAAATGAACTATGGTTCTAACGTTAACCTCAAGTAGAAGATTAAGGGATGAAAGAAAAACTTCTAAAGGACGAGGGTTTTTCTACACCGATTGAAATATTCAAACGATCTTGACGTATCTATTATAAAATTCACATCTTGTTCTTTCTCTTTCAACATTAGTATTAATAATAAAATAAAACAAAAAAATCAATAGAACAGGGTAAAGAGGAATGACAAAAGCGCTTGAAACTTGTTAATTGAATCAGGGTTACCAAGGCATCTGACAAAGACGAAAGGTGTTACTATGTTGAGGTTGGATTACATGAATTGATTTAATTGAAACACTTTGTTATTTTATTTTTTATATAAATTGGAAAAGTAGAGTGAAAATTATTGGTTTTTTTACCCCAATAATAGCTATTTTTATGATTGCGTAGAATTTTAATGTGTTTTGGACTTGATCATCTTGAAGAGATATCATCTAAATTGAGAAGTGATAACTATTTATCGTCTTTGAAGCTTATAAGATGACGTAAACAATCCGTTTCATTTGAAACATATAGTTTATATGACATGGATCTGATCTGAACTAGGTTAATCCGTATCGGATTCTGTTCTCAACATAAAAAATTCTTACTCAGGATACTTTTAATTTATAGACTGTTTACTGATCCAACACAGTCATTCTTTTTAGCTCAATATTGTCAATAATTTATATAAAAAGTTTCAATTCCCATATGGAAAAAAACACGGTTTTTGCATATAAAGTATATACAATTCTGACCAAATGTATTCAAAGAATTAATAAAAAAAAATAATAAAGATTAAAGTAATAAGATGATATTGAAATATATCCGATGATAAAAATAAAATAAGAAAAGGGAAATTTTTTGAACTTTGAGCAAAGATAATTCACAAATGCTACTTGAAAAAAGCTTTCTTCAATTTTTATTCTTGCTAAAGAAACGGATGAATAAGTGAAAAAAAAAGTACAAAAATAAGGAAAAAGTGAAATAACGTCTGAGTAGAAAAAAATTAAAGAAGAAAAACAGAGAAGAAAAGTTTGAAAATGAAAGGGGACGCTTGAACAAGGCCAATAAGACCTTTTACTCTCGTCTTTACTTTTTTCACATTCACTGTACTATACTGCTTCACCCTTGCCCTCTTTTTACCCTTCACCAGAGTAAGCAGTTCTCCAGTGTTTTGTTCAAAGAAATAAAATTTTAATATTGAGTTTTTCTCAATCTTTCCTTGATGTTGCTGATCATTAAATTATTACAAACTCACGGTTGTTTTCTCCATTTCGTGTAACGAGAAAAACTCGTGAATTTGATTTTATTTCGAAAATCGATGTGGAATCACGTTGTTTTCTCTACGGGTTACGCAAGATTGCTCATAATTAGACGAATAAGCGTTTTTTTTTTTTGTAATATTGAAAAAATAACCATTGACTCAATTTTATTTTATTTAATCTCTTATAAGCGTCAATTGCATTTGTATAAAAAAAACTATCTGAATAAGTAGCAGTCACATAGCAAGTCAATAAGTTAGCTTTGTTTCTTACTATGATATCTACTTAATTATCAGTAATTGTAATAGTATTTTTAATCATTCAGTTCATTTCTGTTAGCTATTTTTTTCTCTTCCTCATTGTATGTCATAGACTTATTGAATTTCAATATTGATTGTTAGTGTTTGTCCTGCTTAACTTTTGGTGCGGTTAAACTTTTGATTAATTCTAGTTTCAAAATTAATAGCATAGCAAACATTTCAAAAGTCAAAATCGATTTGATCAACGATAATGTTTAGCATTCATTTGACATGTTCAGCAATATAATTTTTTCTTGGCATACACCAGTAGTAGGCAAAAAAAATAGTGAGTTACGATTCTTTATGAAATTTAGAAATGAGGTTATTCAGTCCAACCAACTTTTGAAACATAAATTATTGGAATTTCAATCAAAAATGGACTCATAAAACTCTTGCAATCATCGAGCTGATGTACAATGATTCAATTACTGTTCCACTTTCTGTATAAAAAAATTCTTCTTCTCTTCTGTTTGATTCTAGCATCATTGTTAATTAACAAAAATTAGATGAGCTTCAAAACTGTCCACATGAATACTTAATTTCAAGCTAAAACAATTATTTTCTATTTTTGTCTTTTAGTTGAGCTGCTTTTTAGGGCAATTTATTCATAATTCTTTTTTTATTTTTGTATGACCGTATAATTGAAGTAACATTCATGTGAGTAGCAAAAAGTAGTTATACTACAGGCTGACATTTTAGTGTCAGAGTTGAAAAGTCTCTTCTGTTTATACTAAAAGACATAGCAATGTGCGATTCAGTGGATTTATGTCAAGGGTTTTTCTTTCTGCTTTGTGGAATAGAACATATGGCAATTTTCGCTAGTAAAAAGCTTCAAGTTTCACTTAAAAATAACATAAAAAAGGTGCTAAAGGTTACTTTTCTATATACATCTACTTTTTCAAAAAGAATCCATGTCAAGTAAAATTAATGCAACTTTTATTAAGTATTTTATTTCAGTCTTTTAAGTTATTCATGTTCAATTATCTAAACTAAATCCTTTTTTTCCAATTCTATGGAAAATTATTAATATTCAAGAATTGTTCTTAATTTAATTTTCAATTAATCAAAAGATAATATCTTATTTTTAATTAAATTTAGTTTTTATTGTATAATTATGAAACACACTCTGACATTCATATCAATTAATAATATTATATTTAATTAATGCAATAAACTATTTATATTATCAGTTAGATATTATAAATCAATTGACTTGAATTTCATATCGAAATTTTTCATTTTCCAAAGGTGCAAATGTATGCATGGATGCATCAAAATATTTTTTTTTATCTAGTCCGAGTTATTTTCTTTTAAAAGTAACTTTTATTGTTGTAACTTGACATGAAATTCAGTTCACTTAGTATATTTTTAAAATTTTCAAATATACTTTACTTTATTTTTTAAAACTTTTTATGATCTTTCAAAACTTCGTTGCTATCTTTGCATAATGTCTTTTGCATCACCATATTTTCCATCTAATTTCACGAGTTTTCTATTTTATATTCAAAACCATATACACTAAATAATGTTCAAAATCATGAAAAAAAAAAAACAAACAAACATAAAAAACCAAAAATAACAATAAAGCATTCAGTTACATTGTAATAGAAAACTTTTTATGTTTGTCCAAAATAAAAATTTATAATGTTCTAGTTAAAATTTACCACGCTATTTGGGGTCATAAGCCATTTTTTGTGTGTACAAACTTTAGCCTTTTATAACCCCAGTTTATCGACCATTTTCAAAATTTTTTAACACACTAAATTCTATACAAATTTATTGTTCTATTTTTTACTACGTTAAATTGATGAGCTTTTACTTTAATATGATAATACTCTATCAAATAAATACTATTTCGGATTTTCAATCAGCTGTCTTCATCCACTCTATTTCATATGTCATCACTTTTTGCTAAAGTATTCAATAAGACTTTGAAAAAAAAAAAATATCAGAGATATTAAAATTATTATCGCTCTATACTTTGATACAGTTATTGGAATCAATTGTCCGTAAATTTATAAAAATTTATCTCAGAGAGTTTGTAGCTACAATCAGGATTTTCTTCATCGTGAAACTCGTAAATAATCATCGAAATAAAATCTCAAATATCAGGAAAATTTTATCATCACGATAATCATAATGATAAAAATTCATGTGTCTCGTTACAATCAATTACAAAGACAATAACAACCAAGGCAATTTGAAACACACCATACATGTGGTAGCTGGATTACATTGCACGATATTGACAATAGAACATAACTGTTATTAATCGGGACTATGATAAGTTCCCTACAAAATTTCTTTATATTTCGAACTATTTGATATCTCAAACACTCGATAATTAGTAATACTTTAAGAGTCCCTCGGGTTTCTAATTAACGAGAGTTGACTGTACATACTTTGCGTTAGCTCTAGTTCTTTTAACCAAACACACTGACCTTCTATGTAAGTTAAATAAAATATAAATGAATTGTAAAAATGATAATCGTATAAATGTAATATTATTGAGATCAACCGACTTGTTCAATAAGTTAACTCATTGGTTTTTTTATGCGTCGGCGAGTTGCTAATTGTTCGTATAGAACTGCAAAAAAGTTAGATCGACTCTCAGGATAAAGAGATGTGCGTGACGTAATGCCTTATTTTTTTAACTACAAACCTCATTTTTTTTTAACTATGTATCAATTGCTTTAACAGATTCTTTTAATAATATTATTTTACAAAATAAGTTTCTGAGTCAAAAATTTTCTGTGTGTTAGAAATGAAATTTTTTTTAATTATAAAAATTATAGATGAAATGATTAAAATATCCAATTTCTCCAATCACCGCGGTCAAAATGTAATTGTATCTTTGCGCATGCGCTCAAGTAACGCGCAAGAAGCTCAATTTGGCGCACATGGGTCTACGCATCACAGTAACGCGCTAACTTTGGTGAAGATCACGTCGTTCTTGAATTACATTTTTATCATCACACCCGGCAGCTTATATTTTTTGGCGGTTTATATTTTTTATGTGCTGTGAAGTTTATGGCCAAAAGTTGATAAAAAAAAGAAGTTATTAAATACATTTTACAGCATAAAAATAATTGAATTGTTTTTTTTTTTGTGTATTGTGAGGTTTAAAAAGGAATTCAGTGATTTGTATTTTAGTTTTAAAAATTAATTTTATTTAAAAATAAATTTATCAAGATTTCGTTTTATTGTAATTATGGTGATGTGACGAAACTTTTAGTGTCTTCTTTAGACTTTTTTTTTCATCAAAAAGTTCCGGGTAAAAATTCTACTGAAAATTCATAAGTAGAATTTTTGACTCAATAAGGTGAGTTTATTTCCTTTTTTATTGTTAATATAGTCTATGTTATTCAGATATTTATGAGACTTTAATTCAATAAAGTTCACCCTTTCGGTCATAATTTAATAGTAAATGTTTCATTTATTTATTTATTTTTTAAATATTAATTTGAACATCGATGAACTGATTCATCCATTATAAAAATAAATATTGCATTTGTATATCTTTTTTTTTCTTTAATACTCAATGCATATTGAGTGAAAAAATATCATCTCTATTTTCCATTTCATTTTAATTTTTATTCTAATTTTAGCTTATTACCTCGAAGAAGTTTTTTTTCCAATAAATAAAATAAATAGAGTAGTTGGATAATAAGCAATACGAGTGATGGTAAAGAGGATATTTAATGGAGAATGACTCATTTCATCAGAGCCACTGAATATCAACAAGTAGCATAATTAGAAAAGTTTTTCATCAATTTATTATCAATCATAGCAACAATTAATAAATTTAAAAAAATATATATATAATAAAATAAACGTATTAATTTTGTTAAAATACAATTCTTTGTGTGCATTTGTAATTTATATTAATTCATTTTTCTCTAAAAGTTGAAGATGTTGAAAGTTAAAGAAAAACCTCGATTTTCAACGTGAATCAAAGTATTTTTAAATAGTAATTTTTTACCGTAAATTTAAAGTTTGTGAAAATTGATAATGACCGAGCAAATTGGCAGCAATTTACAGAAGTCGTTAACCTCAAAGTTGAAAAACCGGTGAAGAGGGTGGGTAAATAAGAAGAGAGGATGGTAAGCGAAATCTCGAAATCATCGGACTTGAGTCTTTGAATTTTCCTTCCCGTTCCTCTTCTTTCATTTCACTACTCTGCTTTCTTACTTTACTGTCTTCCGAGTTGAAGAGGCCACTGACGCATAATGTTTTCGTGGAAACGAGAATAGAAACGAGAACAAGATATAAACGGGCTCATCGTCGAGACTCACATCACCGTTAGTTGGCACATACCTCTTTCCTCTATATCTCGTTAAGCTTTTCGTTAAGTAGAACATACCCTTTAACTTTATTTCTAAAAAAACTTTTCCATTTTCTTTTATTGCCAATATTCTCTCCATACTATTTTATCACTTCTTTAATTGATAGATTTATGCATTTCTTCACCTTCGTTCGAGATATTTTTATATATCTAGATCACTTTTATTTTTACAATAATTATCTTAAGTATTTTTAAAAGTTAATTATAAAATTTATTTTATTACTTTTAAATGAAAAATTCGACTTCAAACAAAATTTTTTTTTTATCAATCATAACAAAATGCACTCTTTAATGTTCTTGACGTTATTGTTGTTTAATATAAATTAAGCTTTTTATTAGAAGTAACTAATAGCTAAAATAAAATATTCTCATGATTATTATATTTAAAATCGAAACATTATATTTCCGAATAGACATTTAATCGTACACTGGCAACACCATAATTGTGGATTAAGAATAATTCCAGTATTGATCATAATATTCTTAAGTAAAACAAAAATACATGTACAACATAATACGAATGATGGCAGGTTCATAATCATCAAGAATACGATTTTGTCAGTGTATCAAATATGTTTATTACAAACAAACTGACGCGAGTGAGATCCAAAAGAGAAGCTGGTTATTTTTAGAAGAATTTTGGTTCAAGTACGGAAATACTTAGTTTTCATTAGAAATTAGTCTTTTTTGGATCTATTCAAGGAGACAGTGAGATTGATACTTATAACCGAAATTGTGAAATACACAACATTTTTTTTATTCGACAATCAAAAGTTTGAAATAAAATATGCTGTAGAAGAATGTTCATTTATTAACATACTGCATACCAAAAAATTTACAGATTTTATTGATTAAGCTATTTTTCCGTGAAATTATTAAATATTTGTATAAAAATTTCAAGTATCTTCCAATAAAGTTATTATTTAGTTAAAATTCAATTATTTACACTTATGTTATATCGTCTGTTGAATTATTTTTTTCATTGATTTCATCGTTTAAAGAATTAAACAGTATTGCCTTATATATTTACTGTTTAATCAAAAGTATAACAGTTAGAAAAATATGCTATATTATCAGTCTTAATAAAATTGATTTAAATTTGATATAGAGTGTAATTATTTGAAAATTAAATATACCATGATGGTCAAATGTTCTTCTGATATTTGATAGGTCCAAGTGTTGAATTAAAACTAAAGTGAAGCATTTCTGTCTGATTGGTTTTCGATATTTTTGCTAATTAAATCGATATATTAATGAAAACTACTCAATTAATTTTAATTTTTTTCATTTAGAAACCTCACTGGAAAGTAACTTTTATAAGTGAGGGAATTTTTTTATTTAAATCAAAGTATTTGAGTTATTAGCATAAATTGGAGGGCTGTTTGGTTAACCTACATTTCCATAATTATGTGGCGAAAAATGTAAACCACTACATCTCAAAAATGTCGAACGAAAAATTTAGAACGTCAATAAAATAAGAAGGAGCAAGAAAAAGAGTGTGAAACATCGTTGATGGTGCCAACAAGTCACTTGGGACACTTATCTTGTCTCTCTGAATCCGTCGGGATACTTCCGGTGTTGATCTCGAACGTCACTCGCACATAAGATTTTGTTTCATTTTTTTTTCTCAACTTTTGCTTTTCATTTCCATCACTTTACAACATCAGATTGACAGGTCTTTGATGCTTAATTGAACTACTCACAAAACTCATTTTTAACTGTTCATTTAAATTTTGTTAAAAATATTTCATTTGAAAATTTGTTTTTAAAACTGAAATTTTGTTTCACATGTCAAGGATAATTTTGTTTTTATAATTTCAGATGGACGTAAAATTTTCAAAAGTGACACCTACGCTGTTGATTATATTTTTGTTTTTGATTCATTTGTCACATGTGGCTTCACAATGCGGATCAACTAATCAAGATCGACAAGACAAAATAGTTCTTTACAAAATCATACTGAGGACTTATTGGTCGAGAGCAAGATTTCCAAAGCATTATCCAGAGTGGCGACCTCCTGCACAGTTTGGCAAGCTTGTTGGTAAGTGATTTTTGCCAATAAAATATTTTAAATACAATGAACAAAATTGAGATTTAATTTACTTCATTTCTGTGCCGGTTTTTTTTTGAAATAATACTTTCGAAAAATACAAAAATGTTGAATGATACAACGGCATATTCATCAATGATAGTCTATAATAATTATGACTACACTGATGAACATCAAGGTATATTATATGAATTGAGTAACACAGGAATACTCTCGTCACAACAATTCGAAATGAAATCTCGAATGAAATTGCAGAATGTGATATGCACATTAAATTCATTGGTATGTAATATCATATCCTTCAAATTCTACGTGGTAATATAATAATATCTCCCTATATCACTGGAAAAAAACGATATTCCTAAATTACCAAGAATAATTTTATTTTTAATCAAAATAACACTGACATCAAACCGGCGTCAGATGTTCAGTGTGATGATGACGAAGAACAAAATTATTCTTGATCTAGAAATATTTTTTTTTCATTATCTATACATTCAGTGTATAAGTATTTCAAAAATGGTTAATTAGAAAAAATTTTGATATGAAAATGAAATTTTTCATTATTCATTTTCTATTTTTATTATGAATTTTCAATAAAATACTATTATTTATTTTCTCGATTGCAATTCATCTTCCTCGATGTATTTCCCATGTTTACAATCTTTGAAAATCCAAGTGTAAATATACTTGAGTATTCTTTCTAGAATATTTCAAACTCAAACGTGCGTGATAGTTTTTCCTTCTTGAGCTTGCAAACTCAGCCTGACCCAACAGTGATTTATGATGTGGTCTTGAAGCATTCAGGAATTCCTATAAGAGATAAACAATCCTACGTATAGACGTAGGAGCAGAAAAAGTAAATTAGAGTAAAACGTGAAAAATAAAAAATTGAATTACGGTAAATTGAGTTCTGATTTTCCGCTTTACAAAACGATTTGTTGTTTTTTCTTTTTCTCTCTACGGAAAGAATGAAAATAGAGTCAAATATTCAAACACGAAGACAGGATATTTTTGGATAACATGGATGAGAAAATATAACTCCACATAGTACAGTTGAAATACTTGTGCGTGATAACATTTTATTCTTTTAACTACCTTGAAAACATTTTTAAATTTATTAAAATCGCTTTATTTCTTGAACAAGTAGAATTTACGCATTGTAAGCTTTCTTATTTTGATATCACCAAATTACTACCTACATAAATTTCAAATCAAAGCATAAAAAATCGATGATTGTGAATTTATTATCAAATTATTTATTATATTGATAATTAATAATTACTGAAGGTTTTTTTTTTACAATAAGTTCTTGTCATACCTAGACATTTAATTAGAAGATGAACTGAATTTTTGAATGAAGTAGATCCAAATTTTTATTGGTTGGATTGTACTGACAGCTTGATTGCTTAAGTCAGGTTCAAATGGACCAAAAATTTTATTGAAACAAAGAAATAAAAAAAGAACGTGAAAATGAAAATAATGCTTTTATTTTTATCTCAAGTATTTCATAATATATTTCTCACCCTTGTACTTTTATTTTGTGGTTGATGCAGTTTGTGGCTCCATGGAAACTATCTCTACCCTACGAAGCCTCAGGAGGCTTTTGTTGATTTAATAAACGCAACTCCCGCAGGCCTGAAAGAACGTGCATACTTTTCATCCCACACTTTGTATGAACATCTCACCCCTTTTCTTTCCATTTTTACTTTTTTTTTATTATTATTATTACCATGATTATTTTATTCTTATTTTTTATATTTTGTTTCTTTTTAAATCTCCGTCTTTTCTTTCACTATATTTTCACTTATTTCTATCTTCTACTTTTCTTTATATTCTACACCTGTTTCACTGTCTGATTTTATTATCTCTTTTATTAAAGTTTTCTGTCTATCCTTCATCCTTAAGAAGGTTACTAATTTTTATTATTTCCTTTTTTTTTTCATCTTTCATTACTATTGCCTTCTAATATTTTTTCTACTATTTGTGAAAAATTATAATAGAAGCAAAAATGTCGGCTAATATTATCTCAATTTTTCTATTTACTTTCAAGAGTAATGAAACAAGAAAAGGGCATTTTTTTTTTACTTACTACTTTTTAAAAATATTCTTGTTGAGAAAAAATCCTTATTGTTTAAGAAAAGCGTGTTTATTAACCTATTTTGAACAAAAATCTAGTTATTTTTAAGATAAAATTTCAACTTTATTTTCAATTTTTTTTTTTTTGAAGATATTATTTTCCATCTTTTGTTTTTAAATATTTTTTTTTATTAAAAAAAGAAATTTAATGAAATTAAATTAATTGACAACAATTAGTATACTTCAAAATTTTTGCAACCATTGTCTAGAAAAGCAAACGTACCAATTAGAGACTATGTTCCTATTAACGACTATCGAGACACTAAATGGAAAGGTTCCTATTAGAGTCCCTGCTTCAATTTGGGTGAAATTAAAGGAGCCAAAAGTGAATGTCTCCAATGTCAGGACATTTGATAGGGAAAGTATTCGTTTATTTAATGAATGGTTGAGAGTTCATTTCTTGATTAGGAAACCATTTTCCTAGTTTTTTTTTTTTTTTTATTATTCTAAAATACTGACTTTAATTATAATTTATAGAAAACTAATTTTAAATCCTTTTAAGTTGGTTAAATTATCTATGAATCAGGTCAGAACCTAATTAAATTGCTAATTGAGACACTTGTCCTAATTATCTTTATGTGAATTTTTCTTTGAATCAATATCTATTAAATGATTCTTTTTATTAGTAATTACATAACTTTTATTTTAAATTAAGAAAAAAATGTTTTTGTTTATAAAATAAAATAAGCCTATAAGTTTATTACGATAAAATTATATACCATCACACTGTATTTGTAGTGTATTATAAAAATATTTTTATAATTGGATATGAGCTTTTTTTCATTTATATGCAAGTTTATTTTCTTAAAGTTAGCCGCAATTTCCCCGAGTTCGTTAAATGGCTTTCTCATGTTCGAAAAATATTTTGTTCTATTTTTTCCGAGAACCACTTTACATTACTGCAGAGTTAATTTAATGTGTTTTTATGGAATAGGAAAATCCTTTAGCCCCTTGGTGGTTATCTAGCGAAACAACGTGAGTTTTAAAGAGAGATGAATAAGAGAAAAAGTGTAAAAGGGGTTGAAGCTTCACTCGCAATAGTTGGATGGTTGGGATAAACTGTGGTAGTTAGTGATGCAGATTAGAGAGTCGAGTACTCGCATATCCCGATGGAAATGTTGGGGGTGTAACATCGTGGCTAATGTGGGGATGTCGCATACCTCCCTTATATGAGCGATGAGGGTGGTACCGACCTCTTCATACCCCAATAGTTGTTGAGAGTGTTACTGTTAGGATGCACGTAATAATAGCGATGAATTGTTGATGGCGCCAGGCTACTCTATATTTATGTTGCGGGATTGCAACCCCTAGGGTCAAGGGTTGAAACTCCTCTTTTATGACCACTATTCCATTTTTTTGGCGAAATTATTTTGTTCTTTTTTTTGTCATGGAATGTCTTAAAAATCATAACAAGGGGGAGTCGTCAAAGCTTTACAATTAAATTTGATAAAATCGTTTGTATTAAAAATATAAGATGTAGGATATCCTTTAATATAACCATGATAATATTGAATTTTAATATTTTCCAATATTGGATTTTTTCATCTCTAAACTTTTTTTCATTACAATATTGAAAACAAAAAAATATCAATGTATTTAGAACGATAATTATTTCAGTATTGATGTGAATTATTTTTCCATACAATTCCGATACTATTTCCCTTTTGAGTATTAAGCCTGAAGGCATGAAAAAAGCAAACTAATTTTTTGCTGTAAAACTTTGTGTCATGAAAATTTCTGTATCCCCAGAAGGCACTAATTTTCCCGGTATATTGAGAGTGATTATTCAGCCCCTAGTGTACTCGAGAAACTGGCCACGTAGATTTAGTTATGAGGTAGGCGTAAAGGGAGGGGGAGTTGGTGAGGACTCGCGCTCGAATTCCGATCGGCTGGCACCTCGTTACGTTGAATTCATTCGCGGTATTCGCGTCGACAGGAAACCTGCAAGTGGGGTTTGTACTGTTCATCACTGTCTCGCTTTTGCCCACATTCTCTTCTCACTGTCCCCCTTTTTCTCCTCATTTCTATAGCACACAGGGCACACAACTGACTGAAAAGCTGGACGCCCGAGGGGATAGCATATAGAAAGAGCTTTTCGTGAATGCGCACGATCGTATCTTGTACGATCGATAAATTCGTGTAACATTTCAACGAAACAACAACCAAATGAAAATAAAGAAGACAAAGGTCCAGAGGATAACAAAATAAAGTTGAAATGAATACCTTCGTTATTTTACTTTTTTACTCTCTTCTTCTCGAGAGCTTGGAAAAAATTCTTTTATTGAAATTTCGTCTGTATATCAGGATCAAACAAATTAATTACAGAAAAAAATACTTTTCATCAAGTATTTGTGTGTTTTGATATTTGACAATCTCTTCTTTGGATTTCTTAATCAAACTTTCATGACTTGTTGAGCAGCTTCTACTTTGATTAATTAAAATTTTACCCCATTTTTTAAATCAAAGATCCTCTTGACCCTTATGTTTTTTAATTGCTAAATTCATTTAAATAAATACTCCCATTACTTAATATTATAAAAAAATGTATATATAAAATTCAAGTTATTTAGTGAAATTATTCCTCAAATATAAGTCAATGGAATCTACATAAGATTCCAGTCAAACCATTTTTAATTACAAGTTTGAATTATTTCCAGTGCAATTTTTATAAAATAATATACTTCTAAATGATATAAAAAATTATTTTAATAAGAGTTTCTATCATATACCTTAATTTAAAATTTTTCAAAAGACGGTAGATCTTTAATTCTATTGGATATTGATGTTGAAGGAAATTCCTCCGACAATTATGCTCTTAAAAAAAATATATGGGCCTCATAATGTCTCAAGTT